AGTATGTGGATATATCAGTAGCTTAACTAGTGTCAGAAGTAGATAGGTTATACGTTTAAGATATTTGGGTTGTACATTTAGGGTTACTGAATAGTTAACTAACCTCCACCAAAAACCCCAAACTCTAGTACCATGGGGATCCGTAGTAGTAAGGAGAGAAAATGGGGTCGTTGCGACACTACTACTACTAATAACTATACTACTAACCACCTAACCTAACCTAACTTATTAACACACATACTATTACTACGACCTTTTGCAACACGCACTTTGCCCTTGCACGGTTCGGTGTGACGGCGGGCCACCCGCTGCGTGCCCAGCGCAGCCAGCGTTAGTCTTTCGTCAGCGGATACCTAAGGCACGGGTGACCTTTTTGTCTTTTTTTTTTTTTCTCTTTTGCCTTCCACTAGTAGTAGCAGTAGTAGTAGTATTGCATTGCGACAACGCGAAAGTGGAGTTTCCCCCGTACTCTAACGACGGCGGTGATGACGATGCGCGGCGGATTGCGGTAAGCGTTTCGTGCTTGACCGCCAATATGCCATGCCATGCCCTCCTTATGACATACATAGTACCTACGTAAAAAGAGGCCGAAATACACCCTTTTTAGTACACCTCACACCTCCTTTATCATCCCCATAACGCGGGAGACACTTTTCGCGCGGGGCGATTCGTTAGAAGGTTTGACAGATGCCACTTTTTCTATGCTGTTTTTATTTTTAATTCTTTTGGGGGGGGCTGTAAGACGACGTATGGATGCAACACGACTTGCGCCCGACGGCAATAGGTACCTGTATCTCTTAGAGACCCAAACTAGGGTCCAGGACTAGCGTATTTCTTAAACCATGGAATGCAATCTCGCTACCAAGCCACTGTTCCCCTGTATGTATCTTTTTAAAACTCAGCGTGTTTTTACGTGTGTTTAAACGTGTTTATACTTACTATTTAGAGCCTCGTATGAGATAGGTGGGTATATGTCTAAACGCAGAAGTCTGATACGTCGGAGCCAACAAGCTAGCAATCGCCTGCATAACGCTAGTCCTGGACCCTAGTTTGGGTCTCTAAGAGATAGTATTCGACGTCGGCGGATGCATGGACCCGTCAAACCCCCACCGAAGTTTTCTATGCGGTGATCTAAGGTTAGATTAGGTAGGCACTATGTAGGTAGGAGGGCATAATAACGCGCCAACGTGTAACTTCGCACCACCATATCACTTGGATGTCCGTCGAGTGTTTGTTCTCGAAGACGAAACGTTGTGTATATGTTGTTAGTCATGCTAGTCGGTATCAAATAATACGCCTGAGTGTCCGGACGTCCTGTCTATCTGGTCAGAAGTACCGATACACTCGACATTCTTTCTTGTACGACTTCGAGCACTGTATTGTTATCATGTATTTGGAGCGTTTCCAAGAGGGAGGACCTAGGTTTGACTAGGATAATAGTTTCCGACCGCCGGTTTGTTGCTAAAACCAAATATCCCCCTTCTGGCATATACTGAGACATGCGATTCATACATTCTTCCTGGCGATACCAAGACTACATAGTTGCTTTCCTTCGGCCAATGGCCGTGACACTATCGACTTGGCATATGAAGGCAAGGAATGGGTTTGAGGTCGAGATCGAGGCTTTGGGTCTTCTCTCTCTAAACCCGTGAACGTGGTAATCGGTCTCGTCTTCGACTTTCACGTGTAATGGTCACGGGCTACTTCGTCATTAGTCGCATCGATTCACGGGGTAGGTGGTCGAGAGATTATATGATAGCTAAACGAGATACTATAATAGTCAATTTAGCGATGAGGTTCTGATAGTTAAAGGGGTGCCGATATCAACTCTGAAGAAGTTTACAGCTTCTAACGAAAGAAAGATATGATATTCATCTTCAATCCAATGTTGAGGCAATAAGCAAGCCGTAGTGTTTAATCTATTTAGCTACACGTCTAGGGTTTAGCCCATCGAGATATGTTATTGTAAGGTAACTTCCCACGTCCTCCTGTATTTGGCTACATAGATGCTTGTATAATATTGAGTAGTATATCTGTTGTATTTCCTAATAACATACTGTTAGGGAGCATCTCGGTTTAGCGTAGTGCCACTCAATAAACTAAACTACTACCTCTGCCGCCATGGAAGGTACTGCATTGGCAATGGTGAAGTTCTGATTCTCGAAATGGCTCCGCGGTGGCATATGCTGCCGCGGCTGGTCCAACATAATCCACGGATGGTAGGAGTGTTACGAAGATAACATTACTGCTTACCTAACTATAGTTACCATTTCATCCTGTTCGAGCTTTGAGTAGGACCTTGAAAGGCTCATGTGGGATCGCAGGAACCAGATCTCCGATTAGATTAACTATCACATGAATACAAGCAGACTTACCCGCATGCATGCCCAAATCTGCACAGAACCTCAGCTTATTTTGCCTATCAAGCCTCTTGATCCATAATTCCTCCCCTATCTCGCCAACTAGAGGTGAATCAACATGCATGGAGGAGTAAATAACTTCGGCGTTGGGTATTGCTTCTGTATTCAACGGGCCATGAAAGTGGTGCCAACGAGACAGCTGAAGAACTTGTGCAACGAACGATAAAGTTGAATCATGTCTCCACGAACGTCAACCTGCATAGTCTACATAGTTCGCTGCTATGCCACTTTACAGCTGAATCACAACTTGGTGGCAATGCAAGTTGGCAGTGTCCTAGGAGTAGGAGGGTATACAAAGCAGGTAGGCTAACCCATTGCCCGATATTAAGACCAAGGACGTTTCCTACGCATGGATTTATAACTTGTCTAATTCAGTTTACGATATAGCACAATTTTGACATGTACTCGGACTAAATCACTGACACGAGAACTCGAGCAATATGGAAGGTAGGTTGCCAGTAACAACTTAACAAGTATATATTGTCTACCTACCTGTTATCTAATATATTAAAGCCTGCCCAGCGTCTTAATTACTAGCATAATTATGATTATATTTTATACAGATGTTTGCTCCGTGTAGACAGACTTACATACACAAGTACCTAACAACTGCAGTCTGAAAAGCCATATTCTTATGTGTTTGGAATATAGGCCTTTATAGAGTCCCGATACCAGTAAAAGCACTCGAAGGCATCCATAAAAGTGCATCCCTCGTCTATTTAATAGATGTTCTAAGCATTGTCTTAGCTAGAGGATGCACAGTCTATGACCACCTAAAGTGATCAATCTCCTAGCTTTAAGTCCCGCTTTGAATTCATACGCTGCTTCTTCGAGGTTACTAACTCGAAAAACAAGGAGTTCATGCTGGTTCACATGATCCTGTTTTGACGATACTAGGGTTGGCGCTTCTCTGGCTAAGGAAGGCCTTAAAGAGCCCTTCTTCTTCGCGGGCTTGGTGACGGGTTATTCGGCAACCTGGACGCTGTTAGCGTTCCAGACCCCAGCTTCCTGTTTTCGCCTAGATTCTTGTAGCTCTGCTGAGTTTGCTCCATATCCATCTCCACCGTTCTAGCCTCCCTGGCTTTCTGTGCAATGTTCGTTCTCACAGTCCTTGCATTTAGCTTTCTGGTAGACGCCTCAGAGGTACCTCGGAGGTACCTCCGAGGGCTCGAAAATACGACACCTAAAGAGAGGGGAGCTTTCATCTGTCGCCTACTGTCATCCAGGACAGACCAGAAATCTCGAGCAGACATTCATGGGAGCCCGAGGCCTAGGCTTGGGAACAAATCTTCTGGGCACCAAATATCTGCTAGGCGGGTGAAGCAGTAACGGAGCGAGGGCTGCCAGGAATGATATACCTTCATTTCAGATGAGAATAAAGTCGGTTGATTTAGGAGAATGTTTAGCACATTTTGTAGATCTTAAGTTGTAATATATCTACCCAACTGACGCATCATCAACTACATTAGTTAAGTTATAATAATTGGCAGTTACCCTATATAATAATTTCGGCTTTGTACAAAGGTAATCAACTGTATCAAAGAACTCTTTACCGGACCCTTCTTCGTCACATTTCTGTTGGAAAATATTATATACCTATTCTACCGAAATAACACCAGCTCCTCTCAAACGGTAATATGCAATACCCCTTAACTGCCCGGAGAACTTGTAATCACATACCGCTTCACTAAGCAGAACCAGAATGCTTTCACAGTCTTCTTGTATAAGGTAGTCTTCAAGGTTACTATGGTTGATTGTCCTAGTTTCATGAATATGTTATGCAATATGAAAGCAAATCTGCTTAAACTTTTATCTTAACAAATAGCAGCAGGGGGAGTTATGTGATTAACTACATCTGTCTCATCTAACCAGACATTGAAGAAGCATTATACATGTTGATTGTCTCTTGTATTTCCAGTTATAATTGTGCGTTTAGTCTAACGCCGGTAACATGCCATCTGCCAAGTTAAACAGAATATAAACTCGGTTGTGCTTTTCGGTGTATCGTAACTACATGCTGATGGTCTTCTTTTACTATAGCTGCAGCATATGTAGTAACAAGAGTAGAACTATACTTGCTTCTAGTTCATACTATAATGCCTTCTTTCATCCTATCAATGAAAGTGCTCATGTTCAAGGAGGTGTGATCATTTATACCAAGGTTTAAAATACGACTTTAGTTACTTAGGTTAGGTAGTCTTTTATAAAGACAATAATGTAGTTGAAGGAAGTATAGGACACCACTACTAATGCTGATATTTCATTATTATGAGTATTAACTGTACATAAATATCTAAATATTTGGCTACACCCTGTTAGTCTCAAAGCTCCCCATTCCCCTGGGTTGATCTTACGACTTTATCAACTAGTGCCCCGAGACCTATCTTCGCGATACCTCTATTGGATAGCAGTTCCTATAACCTTGCCGATAGATAATGCCGCGGTTAGTATAGTAGAGCCGTCTAATTACATGGGGTAAATGGTGCAGCAACCCACTTCTGATCGTGGGGAGTATATCACATGTCAGCTCATTGCCTATATTCCGCTCTGTAAATCACATGCTTCATTTTACATCCGTCCATATCACAAAAGCGGTCAGAAATAAAAGCATGTGCAACAAATACGCCGACCCCAAACCACGACACTCTATATTGCAATGTTTGTTTGGGTCTCTATATCGTAGATCGTAACAAGAATTAGGTAGATGCGGCCGTGGTGTGCTACTACACAACCAGGCACAAAAAGTCAATGGCCAATCCGGCTGAAAGTAATGAAAATGACTCTATACGTTAAAAAAAAACCGCAAACCCCCGAAAGGGTATCACCAGTTTTCCGCGTTTGTTCTATCATCATACGAGGTACCCATCCATATAAACGCCGCCTAATGCTTAGCAGTGACCTTCTCTCCGGTCAGCTTTTCAACGTAACTCTTGGCCCTGTTTGCGGTTTCTGTTAGCAACGTAGTTCTTATATTTCCTTTTGCTCGCACTGGGGAGAAAAGAAAGAGGAAAAGAGAAAAGAGACTTACATATCACCCATAGCCACCATGCAAACCGTCTGCCAAACGCCTAATCCAATACGCGGCATAACACCGCGGTATAAGCCCTTGAGACCGTTAGTCTCGTAGATATATTTGAAAGTGTTCCCGACCGTCATCTTCTTGGGCCGGTTGGGGTCCTCCTTCTTGCTCTGCATCTCGACGCGGATGACCTCGATAGGCTGGTTCCAGGCCGAGAGGCCACCGCCGACGGCCGAGGCGGTGATCTTCTCAATGGCGCTAAGCTTCTCGCCGTGCTCCTTTTTGGTGACGCGGCGGATGCCCTGCTCAGCGAGGCGGGACAGGCCGAAGCGCGAGCCCCAGTTGGTCATCTGGCGGATGGCGACGGCGTTCACACCGCGGTTGATACCCCGGATGCCCTCCTTGCGGTAGATGTTCATGAAGGTCTCGAACGTGCTCGGGGGCTTGACGCCCGACGCCGCGAGCTTGTGCTGCGTGATCTCGACCGTCTTCATGCAGGTGCAGAAACCCATGGTGGCGTAGGCCTGTGCGACACCGCCCGTCACACCGCCAATGATGCCACCGCCAAACTCCGAAGCGCCTGCGACTCGGGCATAGTATTCGGCTTCGGAGGCGACAAAGAGCAAAACGGCGCCCTTGGTCGAGGCTTCGATCCAGGCCCAGGGAATGAGACCCTGGTAGACTGCGGTGAGGATAAATGTTAGTAGGATATTTTGACAACGAAAAAAAAAAGCGCAAATAAGCTGGTAAATTACTTACATCCAAGAACACCGCCACGGTTCCAAATTGCGCGCAGGGCAGAAGCGAAGGAGTCGCCTCTGTTCGCAGCGAGGTGAGTCTTGCAGACCTCCAGGGGCTGGCCGAGCGTAGTGACCTCGAACAAGTTGAGGCCGGCGCCGAGCAGCAAGTTGGAGAACTTGATGGGTTTTTTCTCCAGCTTGTTCTCCGTCAAAGGGGGAACGGCCCCGGAGGTAGCGACGGTGGCGGTGGACATTTCCAGTAGGATTCGTTTGGTGGAAAGGGGCCTGACCAAGGCAATCGGGCGCTTCTTCGCAAGGTTGAGAAATAAGGGCGGGGGGATAGCGGATAGAGAGGATTAACCTTTCGGAGAGGATTGGGGAATTGGAGGGGAAAAGAGTTGATGAGATAAAAAAGGGAAGATGGATGGTAAAAGTTGGGCTTTGTGAGACGGGGAGAAACGGGGAAGTCGATCTGGGAAGCAATAAGGGATCGGAGTCGGGGAGTTTTCCCAGCAGAACGGGCGTTAGGTATTATTGGTGTCGGTGAACGGATTACGATTGCCGTAAGCCTGCAGTGTAGTGCAGTGTAGATTAGGTACGGAGGGCGGTGGTCAGCAAAAAGCCAGTTTAAACAGTTAACTCCAGTTACCTAGCTGTACCTAGCTGTGCCTAGCGGTTAGGTCAACAAGGTCAAGCAAGCCTCGGCCCCATGTGGTAATCGTAGGTACCCCTAGTTATATTCTAGCGCCTGTATTTAGCCCTATTTTACCTACCTATTAGCCAATGGAATAGGAATCCAGACCTTCTAGCGTTACAGGTAATGTACCTAATCAACTGGCTACTTGTACAATACATGGATCATTATTCAATTATTTCTACTACAACGTACTAGCTCATTGGACAATTCGAAGTATGATATCAGTTAATGAATGAAGGATTTATTCCTTGAATTTATATTCGGCGGTTTCATGCGGTTTTATTATTTCTTACTATATTCTTTTGCTTCGGTTCGGCCGATAGGATTTAGGTAATCTTTTAGACCGTTGTGCTATTTGGTCCTGTATTACTATGCATACCTACCTAGGTACCTTAGGTTAGGTACACTTGAAGGGATGGGACCCTGGTAGAGGTAGGAAGTACCTAGCTTACAAAGTCATCAGCGCCATCTCCGAGCCTCAAATGTCCCTCGGAACTTTGTTGAACGCATTCTCAACAATTGCCAAGCTCCCAGTGATACGCCGCCCGATAATATAATCTTGCAGCTTCCCCATCGACCAACCATATTTGCTAGTTTAGTTTTAACCTCAACAAGCTGCCCGGATTTTCCCCAAACTTGCAGATTTATTAGTGGTATTATTATCGTCAAACCGCCGAGTTCGTACCGATCATACAAACGCCACCAATTATATCAAAATTCGTTACTTGTAGTTACTTGACTTAGTATGGTACACACTGGTTACTAGCGAGGTTACTAGCTAGCTACTTCATATGTGACTTCATGTTGTTTTCGATAGCTTTTAAACAAAAGTCGCAGTTTTAACGATTCTATGCGCCTTAACATTGAGCGGAGTTGTTGCTAGTATTTAATGTTCAATTGCATCTACCTATACAAATAAATTCAATCATGACGTTATTATTGTACAAGCGCAGCTGCTTTTTGGTATCGCTAGGAGCATGTCTAATTCAAATCCTCCCATGATACACCGCTGCTCTCGATAGACCGTTCTATTCCCGTGTGAAACATGCTCTTTTCAGACATAAGGAAAAATGCGTCTCTCATTCCTTACAGCTTGTTGCAGATCTCGATCCACTTGGCAGTCGAGAAACTCTTGGGCCTCTCAATCGGCGCGCCGACAGCACGGTCGATAATGAGCTGGGGCAGGACGCCAATGGCACGCGACACACCGAACAGGACGGTGTAGTAGCTAGCCTCGGTCAAGCCGTAGTGCTGCAGGAGGACACCGGAGTGGGCATCGACGTTGGGGTACGGGTTCTTGGTCTTGCCGTGCTCGGTCAGGACCTTGGGGGCGATCTTGTAGACTTGGCTGACCAGCTGGAACATCGGGTCGTCGGGCATCTTCTCTTGGGCAAATGTTCGCTGAGCGGTGTATCGGGGGTCCGTCTTGCGGAGGACGGCGTGGCCGTAACCGGGAACAACTCGGCCGGAGTTAAGAGTGGACCATAGGTACTCCGTGATCTTAGCGTCGCTTAAGTCGTCACCAATAACCTTCTTCATCTCAGTGAGCCAGTTCAAGACCTCCTGGTTGGCGAGACCGTGGAGAGGACCAGCAAGACCGTTCAGACCAGCAGCGAGGGATAGGAAAGGAGAGCTCAAAGCACTGCCGACAAGGTGAGTAGTGTGGGCACTGACGTTACCACCTTCGTGGTCAGTGTGGATAGTTAGGTATAGTCGGAGCAGTTCGATGAAGTCCTTGTTCTCGCCAAAGCCAAGCTGGTTGGCATAGTTGAAACTGTAGTCCTTGTCCTTCTGAACCGGCGCAACCTTGCCGCCCTTGAAAACGTTCTGGTAGATGCGAGCAGCAATAGTGGGGAGCTTGGCAATCAAGTCCATAGAGTCCTCAAAGGTGTATCCCCAGTAGTCTTTCTTGCTAATACCCTTGGCGTAAGCCTTAGCGAAAGACGAGGTGTGCTCAAGCGCAGTAACGGCAAGAGAGAACTGGGCCATCGGGTGGAGGTCGGTAGGGCAGCGGTCGATAAGCTCCTCTACGAACTTAGGGACATCGGATCGAGCGGCCCACTCGGCGGAGAGGTCGCGAACCTGTTGCTCGGTAGGGACCTCACCGGTCAGAAGCAACCAGAAAAGACCTGGAATATTTAGCCGGTGCCCTTATAACCACATGGACTTTTTTTTTTTTTTTTTTATTGCATACCTTCGGGGAGGGGCTCCTTGCCGCCGGGAGCCTTGGGGAGGACCTCCTGGCACTCGGGAATTGTCTTGCCTCGGAAACGGATACCTTCCTCGGGGTCGAGGACCGAACCTTCCCACACTAGAGCCTTAATTCCTCGGGCACCACCGTAGACCTGGTCGAGGGTGACCTTGTCGACGACCTTGGAGCCATGCTCTCTGCGCACAAACCATGAGTATTTGCTCGTAAGGTAATAATAATAACAATAACAATATTTCTTTTTTTGAGGTTTTGGGGACCTACTTTCTTAAAGCCTTGATCTGCTCGATCGTCTCAGGAAGCAGCTCGGCAAAGCGCTCCTTTAGAGTCTAGACCAATTTGTAAGCTTGACAATTCGTGTATCATATTCGAGACTTGCTTACCTGGCTTTTAGAAGAAGAGTAGCATCGTGCTGCGTTGAACGCCGTGGTACGGGCCGCAAAACTGGGGGCCCTAAGCGTGGTTCGAAAGACGGATGAGCTTAGACGGAGGGTGGTCGCCATGGCTGATGATGCAGCACGAAGAATTGAATTAAAGTGGTATTAGGTAGGAAAGTTGGGAAATGGTAAACAGGACTTCGTGAAAAAAGGATTAGAAAAAAAGTGATGAAATGCCTCAAAAGCGAAAAGTACCTAGCCTTTACCTTGGTTAATTGGACTGGGTGACGGGGACTAGGGTCGGTCTCGGTTGGATGGGGGAAGCCCGAAGAAAAATTTAGCGGGTCCGGCATCTACATACATACTGCGAACTACGGAAGGGGTACCTAATCTCTTCATATATTCACTACCAATTTCTTAAGTCAACTGCCAACTGTGCCAATTGGGGCCGGAAGTCTCAACCAAAAACTTACTAACGGCAAAATTGGACGACCAATAGAACTGCTTCAATCTGCGGATATTTAAGCGTAAACGGCCTCGTTTTCCCGACATGTGGCTTTGACATGTAGCCTTCCCATCACAAACCCAGACCTGCCCTATGTACTTAGTTGGCTTGTAACGTTGACGTCAATGTTATATAGCTTCAATGTTTCGTAAAACGTAATATTGAAGCCATTCACTATTTACAAGTAATAATAAAGGTAGCCATAATAAAATTGACTGTTACATTGTGATGCTCAAATTATATATGTATCATGTCTTGTTGCGATCAGTCTTTGCAAAACCAGCCAAGGATAGTTTTGATCTTACGTGAGTACTATATAGGATCAAGAGTACATAGGATCAAATACCCAACAACAGGTATGTAGGGTAGAGGTAGAATGTTGCTGGATTTTGTGACACTCTTGATGGTAGGTCAATGAGGACTTGAAGTGTTTGCTTGGCTACGTAGACATATCCGACGTCTAGGTTAGGTAGGTAAGTAACGCATCGAATTCCATTCCTTAAAGCAATCAGGACGCGTTTTAATTACCTTTAACTACTACTGAAAGTAGCATTTGAATCATTTGTAGTATGTATTATGTTAATTGAATGCATCTCATTGTTGTAATTGTAAAGACCGCGTGTTAATACGAAATTCCAAGTTATGCTTGGTAGTGACAAAAATGATGCTAGGTATTACTAACGTCGTCTAAAGTTGATCTCGATTGTAAATGTAAAACAAGTACCAAAGTACTGAAAAAGCACTAACGCAAGATTAGTAAAATTTGAAGCGTTAAGGTAGGTGCGCTAATTGTGGGTCGTTGTGGCTGGGCAAGTACGAGTGTTCCCTCAACCCCCCCCCACCTCTGCAACACGCGACTGAAAAAAAAAAAAAAAAAATCTTGCCAGCCAACAAGTTAAAGCAAGCTTTGGAACTGCGGCATCTCCCTCTTTCCTAAACACCTTCCACGCTCCATCCGCGGTAAATATCCCACATCAACTTTATTTTCTTTTCTTTATCGCATCGCATCAACACCCTGTAAATTCAGCCCGACTTCTTCATAGCTGTATCGAATTGGTCGCGCCAGTATTCCAATTCGTACCACTATTTTCAGCTTACCATAACAGCACAGTCAGGTTTTTTTTTAAACAAACAAATTCGGCGCCCCGTACTGGGACCAAGATCTCCCCTCCAAAGGCTGTAGTAGAGGTGCAAAACCCTTTGGTGGTGTTTTCTCACTGTCGCATCGAATTACTCGGCATCGCTGGACATTTTCATCATTCGTTCAATCATTACTACTTTGAAAAAGGACACTTGGAAAAGAAAACATCGACATTTTACCTAGATTTGCCTTTTAACGGCCTGTAACTCGTTAGGTCGCGGCAGAAATACACTTGAAGTAATCGCCCGAAAAAAAAAGAAAGCTAGACGAAGCAGACATAAAAACCCTCTTAATACTTGGGTGACTATCGCGACTCTATCGTATATCGTTTCACAGGTGCTGCGAGCCTGTCCTCGCTGTACATTGTGCTTGCCGTTCTCCTACCATTATTCAAGAGAGCTCTAGAGCAATCATGTCGTCGCCCGTAACAGAGCTTGAGGCTGGCTTGAATGCCATGCAAAATCTTAAACCACCAGGAGTTACTCAATCCCGTATTGTGGCACTGACAAGCTTGTGTGTCGATAACGTCCAGGTAAGACTAGGCTGCATACATTGATAGCTACGGCGCGTATATGATGGATAGATGCTAATATGGTTATTTACGTCACAGTCGGAATCCGTACTCATCCAGAAGATCTACACCCACTTCAAGAAAGCCCCCGCAACTCATAAGTTAGGAGTGCTCTACGTCGTAGATTCCGTAACTCGCAAATGGGTTGACCAGGCCAAACATCAAGGCCAGCCTATCAATAGCTCTGCAAAGGATGGAACCTACGCTGCCGGCGTGCATAGAGTAACGGAATTGCTTCCTGTGCTTATGAATGATATTTTTCAGAACGCCCCCGGAGAACAAAAGGTACGCTTTATCATACATTTGTCGTCGCATACAGTTCGTAGTTTTTGGCAATAGCGTCGACTTCGGTCGTGATGCTCCTAGGATAAGCTCATCTAGCCGTACTATTTCCTAGTTCTAGGCTGCTAGGCTGCTTTGTTGCCATGATGCTCGTACGCCTACCGGGCTCAACTGGCTTAGACACCTTTTTTTTGCGATATTGACCTGAAAGTACTTACCTAACCATTCCGTATAGGACAAGATCAAAAAGCTTATTGATATCTGGGAGAAGGGCCAGACGTTCCCTCGACCTATGATCGAGTCATTCAAAGAAAAAATGAAATCATTTGCTGCGAAAGGTAGGTCTCTCCCAATCCTTAATTTGACAATAGACACCCCACATTCCTTCTTCACCGTCTCTTGTATTGATCGAGGTCGCCTATCTGACCCTTGTTTGTTCTTTGTAGACGAATCCACAACGCCGATTGGCAGTCCTCCTCCAGGTCCTGGTTTGCCAGGTTTGTCTGAAAATAAGCCACATACTGTCGAGGCTCCCAACGCAATCATGGAGGCTCTCGCCAACATCGCCCGGCAGAATGTCACGGCTACGCCCACCACCATCACCAACAACAACAACATTCCGGCTCCGGCCAGCACATATAGCGTGCCACCCCCACAGACAAGTGCTACTCATGCTCCTATTCTTCCTTTAACTCAAACTCAGCCTCCTGTCTCTTATTCAGCACCTCCGCAACCTGTAAATCTGCCGGGAATGCCGTATCCATTCCCTCAACCGGGTCAAGTTCAGGCTCAAACCCCTGTGCCCCAGGTGAATGCTAGTAACCAAGCCCCCGGCTTCCCGGGTGTAGCTCCCGCTGCTGTCCCCGCAGCACCGGCTCCTGGTATGGACCCTAATGTGCAGCAGCAAGTTATGTTGATCAAGCTTCTTGCCGACCAGGGCGTGCCGTTCGATAAAATACCAGCCATCATAGCTAGCATGCAGAGTACTAGTATTTCTGTGCCCCCTGCTACCAATTCAGCTGCAGCGGCCCCGGTAGGTCAGCCTCCGTATGCTGGTTCGTGGGGTCAGGGTGGCTACCGACCTGACGAATCACGTGATCACGATTATCAGCAAGTGAGATCTCCAAATAGATATCGAAATAGATCGAGGTCGCGTTCGCCCCCGCGCCACTGGGATGCGCGTGACTCCCCACGTGGTCGCTCTGATCGTGAATTTGGCAGCTACGGGCGTAACTCTCCTGGTCTGGGACGTACCAGCGGAACCGGATATCGACAGCGTAGCCCTGGACGCCGTGGCCGCAGCCCAAGCCCTGCGCACGGCTTTTCCCAGCCCGCTACTAAATGGGTTGAATTTGACAGGACCATCCCCCAGGGCCACATCAAAGGTAAAATAACTTGCCTGCCGTCGTGATCCTATATACTAACACGGTGCCTAGTTCTAAGTAGAACCTTATTCGTAGGAGGTGTCACGTAAGTAATACATCTATTTACGGAGGAATCTATTGTATGCTAACTGGTAGACACAGGTGCCCAGAGAGCGAGCTACGCAGTGTCTTCAATCGACACGGCCAAGTCCAGACCTGCATTGTCAACAAAGATAAGCGCCATGCATTTGTGAAGATGGTGACTAGACGAGATGCTGTTAACGCCAAGGAAGCTATGGAGAGTAGTACCTTTCGGGTAAGTAATATCAAAAGGTATCATGCCATACACTGCTAACACGGAAATAGACTCGTTGGGGAGTGGGGTTCGGTCCGCGTGACTGTAGTGACTACCAAACTGGCATCAGTGTGATCCCCATAAGTAAGTTGACTGAGGCTGACCGAAAGTGGATGTTGACTGCCGAATATGGCGGAAGTGGTGGCCGTCCTATCGAGACAGGCATGGTTGTCGAGGAGCCAGATATCGAGATTGGTGCTGGTGTCTCATCAAAAGCCATAAGTCGGCGCATGCAGACCGATAAGGGTGGAAGACACGGGCCAAAGTCCAGCCGTGGTCCGGGCGAGAACGATGACGGAGATCTTACTAGATGGCGACGAAATCGGGATCCACGACGAGACGACGGTCAGGATGATAGGAATGGAGTTGCTACTGGGCCGGCTGTGCCGTCATTTCCTTTTGGAATCGGAACGGGACCCAACGGAATGCCGGTCTTCCCGCCGGGATTTGCGTTTCCAGCGCCTCCTGCCGACCAGTAGGACTGGCTGGATGCAAGTGGATATGGAAGAAATTGATTGGGTTTGATTGGTGCCCGGATCTTTGGTACCCACCGGACTTCCAGGGAGCTTTCAGTATTTCTCGCCGAATAATCCTAATGGATGGTTGCAGATCGAGATCATTTTCAATAACACACAGCCTGCAACCAGTTTTATGAATCATGCAGCATGAAACGGCGTTGGTGGTATTCTGCGTTAGGCTTCATAGGACCAGAGATGTGCTTTCGTTGGACGCGGAGCTTCGTTGATATTGACGTCGCATTATACTAGTCATCTTCGAGTATAGGTCGATGGACAACTGCATCAGGGCGACCCGTCTCATTCATTGTATTCTTTTTCTTTAACCCAGGCAATTCTGGCATTGGCTTACACGACTAAGACACTGTTGGTACAGATTGCATAATGTATAGTATTCCGCAGAATTCAGCAGAAAGGGCGTTAAGGACAAGAAAAAAAAGGGTGAGAGGCTGCATTTTTAGCAGCTTCTTTTTCTGAAAGATTCTGAAGCGAGGCAGCTTCACAGACACCTTCGGTTAGGTTAGGTAGCTGTTGTCAAGGTTGTTACTACATAAATCTCCGCGTACGAATGTGTTCCGCTCCCTTATTGAGATATTAAGGTATAGTCGGATAGTAATGCTAAATGAGCCTCGTTGAATTCATACGAAGTAAGGTCTTATAAAAAATAAGTTGAAGGGTCGTTTGGCCTATGGGTTTATCCCATGCGTGTTACTTGCATACCGTATATAATCTACATTGCATAGGTATATCATACGTCGTAGTGCTAGCGGTAGAAGGCGGCTAACGCGGCGAGTCCTCAGCCCATTATTCCGCATATCATCTTATAAAGTACTAGCTTAGCTAGGCATATTAGATACTTACCTAGGTGCCTAAGGTAGGTGATAATTCGACCCTCCCGGGTCACAGCGTAGCCGTAGCAGGTAGCAATGGGGTGAATAAATCATTCTTGGCGTTTAGATCTAATTAGTTACCGGCTCTTTGGTAAGAGGTTTGTGGATGGATAACTTAGTATAGGCTTAGTTATAGGTACCTAATACACATCGTTTATACTAGGTAGGTAATTATGCTGAGACGAGTATAACAGGTAACCACTCAGGTACCTACTTATAGACTGACTGTATTGTTTATCTCCAAGACGGTTGAATACAGTTGGGCGTAATATGAGGATTTACAAGTCCAACTTATTACTACAGCTGAGTTATGCGTTTGAAGTAACAATCTAATTTATGAAGGTCTTCTCCTGAGGAGTTCACAACGGAAAGCATTTAATTAATTAATTCATTATTATTTGGTTCCACGAACGTGACACTGAATACGGAATTCCATTCCATAGCTTGAGAGTAGTTTACATAGTAGGTACGGTACGTTCAGCCAGGCAAGCGAAGCTACCTAAAGCTAAGCTAAGCTTACAAAGCCCAGCCCCTTTCCCAACGTCTCCACGATCCTTTCTCTTCAACACCTCAACACCTCTCAATAGGCGCGAGATTAGGTTAAGTACTTGATGTACTTGATCACTTCTCATCCCCGTCGTAGGCATCTTCCCCATCCTCCTCCTCATACTCAAACTCCACCAACGACTCGCCCATCTCCACCCCCTCAGCCTCGAGCGCCGAGCGGGTGCGCGCGTCGAACAACATCTCGACCTCGTCGTCGACGCGCAGGTTGCGCGAGTGGGCATACAAGCCCCACGCCAAGTCCCCCACGCCTTGCTGCTTCCGGATCCTATTCCTCCGGGAGAAGAGCTGGTTCTCTCGCTGCCGGCACTCGAAGCCGGCTAGGAGCGGCCCCCGGGGGTCTCCGTCGAGGTGAGCTTCTGCTCGGTAGAGCCCGGTTTCGGGGTACGCGGGGCCCTGGACCGCGCCGATGGTAGGATCGGCGTGAAGGGTCAAGCGTGACGTTTCCAGGTATTCCTTCGCTCTTCTTTGTCCTAGTTGGTGTTGGTATTCGTTCAAATACTCCGCGCCTCCTTGCTGGTTTGGAGGGGGAACTTCGGGGTGAGGAATGAAGGGGCGAGGCCGGCGAATCGCGCGTTGCTCGCCGTTGACCTGCATGTTCAAAATCCCCGGAGAAGCGACAGCCGAACCGACTTGTTCGTCCTTCTCTTCGTCGCCATCTTCATCTTCCATGTCCATTAGGTATACTCGTCCGCTCCCATCTCCAATAAGAAGTTTTGTAAAATCCGGAGAAAAGGCGCCGGCGGTAATGGGTGCGGCTACTTCGATGAGATTTCTTACCAATTCTCCCTTTCCTTGTCGGATATTCCACACCTTGACGACGCCGTCGGATGAGCCCGTATATAGACGGTCGGGCGATGTAGCCCACGCTATAAATTTGACTCCAACGTCTTCCTGCTCCCTGTCCCCGAGGACTTCTTCAACCGGATCTGAATCCTTGTTAGTCCAATCTCTTGATGTAGACGCGTACAAAAATGCATTGCTTACCGCCATGCTCGAGGATGCACATCGGGTGATCCTTACTCGCAGCTGTGTCCCAGACGTAGACTTTCCCGTCAGTACAGCCGGCGGCGATGTACGAGTACAGAATGCTATTGGGCCTATACCTCATGTTAGTTTATAGCGTTAGATAGCCTGATAGAAGTAGTGCATCCCGTACCTTATCGCAAGCTCGTTGATATCAATGGCAGGGCAATCGAGGGTCTTCACCACGCCGTACTGGCCAGACACTTCGTTCAACTCGAAGAGGCGAATTTGCGTTCGAATATGCTCTTCGAGTTTCTCGGAAGTCTGAGATGCTGAAATCGCCGCGGCAAAGCTCGGCCGATAAGGGTGCCACGCAACCTCGAATACATTTGAAGTAGCTGCACTATTGACCTTAACTTCAGTGAATGTATTCATATCCCATAAACAGAGCTCTCCAGTCGAGCGCTTCTCTTCCGGAATCTCGTTGTCATCGTCATTAAGACTCCTTGGCGAGTAACCGATCAGTAGTAGATGGTTCACACTCGAGTCTATTCCCCAGCGGATCGCAGATGGAAAGTAAGCCCATTTATCCGAAGGGACGTAGTCTTCACCGTGTACACGTTTGCAAGAGAACTCTTTATACCTATAAGCTTGCAATAGCATGCTCGACGGATTACGTTCTGCGTAGTAGACCCGTACCGCTCTAGTAGGAACATCGGCTGCTGTGGCGACCTTGCTACCATGCTTATTTTTATTCGTCACCACAAAGTTGACGCGGCCCTCGTGGTACCATGTCTCGCGAAGGGCTATAGTCCCTTCGCTCGTATGCCAGACTTTGACTGTATTGTCGAAACTCGAGGTAAATGCAAAGTCAAAGACGGGGTCATAATCTGACGAAACTACGGACGTAAATAGCCAAGGGTCTTGGCTTTCCCTCATTGCTTCCAAGGAGTTGTCGCCGTACGCAACGAGCGGACGGGGGATACGGTGATCGGGATAAGCTCTCAATGTGTTTAACTTTGCATCACCGAATAGAAGGTTGCCAGGCTTGTTGTACTGTTGGTTATGTGAGTCGGAATGAGTTGTCGTACCGCAGACGAAGCGTCTCCCATCCGGCAACCAGCTGATAGTCATAATATCACCAGCACAGTTGGTCCATTCGATCTTGGGTTCTAAAAAGTCCTCTCTATTGCTCGTGAATGTCGTTGTATATGGGTGATAAACTCTAAGGCCCCCAAGACGGTTGCCAGCCATTTCCCTTGCATATAGTGATAACGGTACAACATTCGCTCTCTTAATAATATTTGCATTCTTGCTATACCTCTCGTCTCGTGCGAATGCCAAGACCAGGGGTTCCGGGTTCACCTGTTTGTGAAATGCATCGTCCAAAAAATTCTGGAGACTCTTTGCGGAACGCTGCAGCAAAAAGCCAGGCGGGGGTTCGAACTCATCGTACTGGCGGCGATGAGCATCAAGAATACGAGATTTTAGATCTCCAAACTTCTTCATAAGATGGCGTAAGTCTCGTGTGTCTGACCTATGAGCCTTCATAGGGCCTCGGTTATATAGAGATCGTGCCACATATCGAAGATAGTAGGTCTCGGATTCGTCGAAGTCGACGTGGTAAATAGCAGGTTCGCGTAGGTCACCTGAGTGAAGCTCAATGCGGCAGTTATGATTTAATTCATATCTGATCCGATTTCGAAAGTCTGAAGCTAAGTAGGGCTTATCAGACAAGGCAAACAACCGGTGGCTCACTGTTACTGGTAAGCCTTCCTCCTCGGACTTGAGGCTTCTACGTGACTGTGATAGTCGTGGTTGTTGGGACGAAACATGTTGCTTCTTTCTTGTACGGAATTTGGAAGGCTTCTTCTCAAATTCCTTGATAGCTTTTTCGAAAATATCATCCAACTTCTCCTCAGTTTCAACAAGATATGCTTCATCGCTACACGAGGCGTCATCGTCATATGAGCCGTCGCTGTCGTCGTTAACGATCTTATCCAACGCGAATTCAGACGACGCTTTCTCAATGGAGGGGAGAATACTCGGGAACGGCTTTGTTATGGGGGCTTTGGTAGGCACTAGTGCCGGTTGCGAAGCAGCATGAGGGGGAACAGGATGGTATCGAAAATCCTGTGTATAATGTTAGAAGTGCTACCCTGGAAGAACAAAAGCGGACTCTGGGAAAGCCTTACATTTCCAGCCGCTAGTTTGTCTACTAGTGCATGGATGCGTTTAATAACAGACGTTTCCATCTCCAGAGGCAGACGACCTTTGCCATCATGAAAGTGACGTTGGAACTCATCGTCGGCGATTATACCAATAATCTTACCGCCGAGCTTTTCAACGTCATAAATATTCTTATCCAGCTTCTTGACAGCGGCTTCGAGATGTGGGAATACCTGCGTTTGCAAGCATTTCGTCAATGCCTTTGTGTCTGTGACCGAGGATGCTGTGCTACGACCAGCGCCGTTTGCTAGCTTTCGGCGCTTGGATGGGCGATCGTTAGGCTGATAAGGATTTCGAGATGGCGACAATGGCGATAATGATGATAAAGGATTCGACGGGTTCGACGGGTTTGACGCGTTAATTCTTGAAGGGAGTATAGGTGAAGTTATAGGGCGTACATCGTGTTCAATACGTCCTCGCGCCGACGAAGGGCGTTGGGTTGTATTTCTTAGAAATGTTTGTCGCCGAGAAACCGTTAGAACGCCGTCTTCTTCTTCATCAATAATAGTATTTAAGTCGATATTTGCACCTCGGCCGGAAGAGGTCCTAGAAAGGCTCCTCGCCATCGTGGGTAGCTATTATCCGTTTTATTAATAAACGGTTCGAGGTTGTATGTAAACTGAAATCGGCATTTAATTACATTACATAATAATTAAATTTAAAATTATTATATCACGTTTTTAAAGAAAATTAAACAAAGAAAATTATTTAATTATTTATAATTATTTATAATTATAATTTTTTTTAAAAAAAAATATTAAAAAAATAATCTTTATTTCATCTTTATTCACAGTTTCTTTACTCGCAATATATACAAATTAAATAAATATATATAGGCTATGGTGGGAAGTACATTCAAATAAGTTCGGTTCGTAGCTTATAGTTTCGATTTAACAGAATCTGTTTCCCCGTTAACTTCTTCGTACATACGGGCAATTTCATCCTTGAACTTTTTTGCTGCTTGGGGCCTCTTTAATTTTAACCTGAAGTTACAATATTAGCAAGAATATGAATAAATATATGTTTTTTTAGGGACTTACGTTGGAGTTAGGAGCTCGTTATCCACCGTAAACGGTTCAACGTCGAGGAGGCAGTTTCGCACACGTTCGTATCCATTGAACTTATGACCCTTGGCGATACCATCCAGATGCTTTAGGAAAGCCTTCACCACACGGGGATCTTGGGCCGCCACCTTAACTGCTTCGGTATCGTCGGAAGCTACTGTCTTCTTCAATACCTTGCTAGCGAACGGGGCGAATGTAGATGGATCCACGCCAAAGATACCAACCAAGGCCGACTGGCTGGGTTCGCCGTGAACAAAGGCTGTGGCGATCAGGTTCGAGCTACCCAAGAATACGTTCTCGATACGCTCAGGGGAAATGTATTCTCCCTGAGACAATTTGAGAACATTCTTCTTGCGATCGATAATCTTAATTCGCCCAAGTTCGTCGATTTCAACGATATCACCCGTGTGGAACCATCCATCAGGCTCTAAGGCCTTCTTAGTTTCCTCCTCGTTCTTCAAATAGCCCCCGAAGATAAACGGGCCCCGCATCAGCAATTCTCCCCGCGGCCTGGGTTTGTCCGTCACCAAGTATTCGAGTTCGGGTTGCGATTCTAAGCATATTTCTACGCCAGGCATTGGGCCACCCACATTACCCAAAGAATAGTCGCCCTCAAGCTGGAACGATCCACTAGCATACGATTCCGTCAGACCATAGCCCTGACAGAAATAGTTTCCTAAGGCCGCTCGGAGGAACTCGTGAACGTCGGGATCGAGCTGCGCGCTTCCACTTACCATGGAGCGGCACCGTTCTAAGCCAAGTGCAGCTCGTACCTTAGGGGTCCATATCCGGTCATAAAGAAAGTGCTTGTTGGTTGCTTTGCCAGGCGGGAGTTTCATGCTAGCCTTCTTTGTCTCTATCACTCTCCGTGAAAGAGCACCCTTCACGCCATCAGCTTCTACCGTCTGTGTCTGAATTCCCAAGCTGAATCGGTTGAACAAACGGGGCACCGATATGAAACCGGTGGGTTTAAGAATCTTCAAGTCGTCGATCAGCTCCAGCATGTCGCCATGGAAATATCCGATGGCGGCACCGGAGGATAAGGAGCACTGATCGATCATGCGTCCGTATATGTGAGCTAGAGGCAAATATGAAATGCTTATATCTTTGTAGGTATAGGACCCGCTAGAGCGAGCACTTGTGCAGCCTGCAACGCAGTTGGCATGAGTGAGTATCACACCCTTCGGATCGCCCGTAGTACCGGATGTATAGTTGACGGTAAGGATATCTTCTGGGCGGGGAGGACGTATCGGATGGGCTACCTTTGCTCCGAGCTCCTCGACCTCCTCCATCGACCATATCTGAATACCGTGCTGCGCAGCGATTCCATTCAAGAGCGCCTTTTTAGAATATCCGTCCTGCTCTCCAGCTTCCAAGGGGTCCATAGAGACAATCAACTTGAGGGCGGGTATTCGAGGCGCAAGGGCGAGAAGTGTTGATATGTGAGGTAAGGAGGAAATTACGCAGGCAAGCTCAGAATGCTTGAGGATGAACTCAGACGCATCAGGGCCAAGAGTTTCGTATAGCGAGACAGAGAAGAGCGACTGCGAGCTCAATCCGAGATCTGTTGTCAGACAATGTTAACAAGTATTTTTTTTATTACGAGACAAAACAATCTGAATTCCGCTAGTCGTTTAAAGCATAAAAGAGACCTTCCTTACCTGCTATTTGCCATTCGGCTCTGTTCTGACTCCAGATACCAACGCCGTGGTTGGTCGGCGGAGTTCCAATACGGCGATGCAGCTCATATATACCAGATCCGAAATTCTTGCTTCGCGCGTCAACTTCGGAGTAGGTTTGCCAAACATAACCGTTCTCCCACGACTGAGTTTCCGGGATCCAAGGCCGCGTACCGAGACATTTATTATTGGGGAATCGCCTCACAGAATCCTGAAATGCTTGGTAAAATGTACGAATTTCAGGTACGTAGGTGTCGAGTAGAGGTTTATCGTGGAATCTCCAGTGCCTATAGATGGGAGTTCGACCCTCTCGCTCGGTGCCAGGGACGGGTAGAGCGTAAGGCGAACCGGGAGGAGGCGGCGTCGACAATTGCTTGATATAAGCCTCGACCTTCTGATCGGGTCCAATTCCAGCCATCTTTACTACGTGACGCGACGAATGGACGGTAGAAATGGGGAGACTAAATCCGTACAGAAGTGTTGCAGGTTGAAATCAAGCTCTAAATGAGAGAAAAAGCGGCGTAAAAAGAGACTTAAGGAGTAAAATCCTGAACTGGTCGCAATCCTTATTACGAAGTTGCTACTTACACACAATCCGTGACCCACTTTGGAAGTGATAGAGGTACCTAACCTTGGAGATGCCGAGGTGGATAATAGAGACGGTTTAGCGCGTATCTTACTGAAGTAGATGAGCTAAGAAACTCGCTAACTTTTCACTACCTAGGTACCTAAGGTACTGATAGTTATCATACTAAGTGCTTTAGGTATCAGGTACTGACAAGAAGAAAAAAAAAAAGAAGAGAGAGCGTTGGTAAGCTTCGGAGCTGAAGAGAGAGTTATGTCGTACGAAAAAATAAAATAAAATAAAATAGCTATTATCACAGGTAAATATGACATTAGTATTTTTTTAAGGGTCTTTGCAAAGTACCTAACCTAGATTGCTTTCGACATGTGCTGAACCCAACCCCCCCAGCCAATGACTTCCCGCCCCAACTGAGCCGAGGTCTGGGGACTCGCGTTCTTAGAAAAGGCGCGACTTGATTGGCTGATTCTCGACCTCGGGGTAGTAAGTACGGGGAAGATACCGAAAAGACTCTATCTCATTGGACTAACTTAGGTAATATAAGCCTATTCCTAGGTACTTTGATAGGCATTTCGAAAAATGTACCAAACGTCATTGCCCAAGTCATGCACGCAGCACGCATACCATTTGTGGGTGAATAACTGGCTTAATAAAACTCGCGGCCGGTCTGCGGCATTCGGGACCAACTTTGTAGCTTGCGCCGAGCTTTCCGAACAAATCATTGAGAGAAGACCTTACATAATATACCACTGCGATAGATCCGGACAGTGGACTCGATCTAAATAAATAATCAAACATTTGGTTACGAATCTCGCACTCCATATGCTTGGCAATTATCCTCTTCACCTTCACAGCATCCAAGCATAGGTATTTACAAGCATACCTACAAGCAGCATCCTGGACTTTTCTTAGCTGCGTCCAGTGCGTGCCGGCACCTGAGACCAAGTCTCGAACTCTTGTACGACAAATACCTTAAGCAGCCAAGATGTTTTTGAGATTCGGATCGAGTACCTGATACAAGAATTCGAGCATCGTCTTTGAGGTTTTTTTTTTTTTTTTTTTTTTTTTTGTTATTTTTGGCTTCTTCCCTCACGATGCATGTTTCAACACCATCTCCGTGCCCTCGTGGTGGATAATCGTCGTGTTCTATCTTATTTTCAGATACAATACCTAACATGATGATAAGTGTGCGGGTAGGAAACGCATTTGGACGAATTAGATTTATTACAGGGAAACCGTTGCGATCACGCAAATGTAAACGCCCGGTGGACGTCTTACAAACCCAACCCAACCCAACCCCCCCCCCCCAAACGTACTACACTATTTCGCGCCTTGCCGCCAACACGGTTCAAATCTCACAGGGTAAACCTCTTGTCAAGATATAAAAGAAAGCAAGACATTCTGTATTAAATACATGTCAACTTATAGTCGGCGATGGCTACAACTGGTCAAGAGTATCCTGTTGCATCTAGGTAGGTCCTGGAGGTAAATACCATTCTAACTATCACAGCCCATCCATCCAACTTCCAAACATCCCAAGCCAACAAGAAGTCCGTGCATGAGTTCTCTCCCTCCCGCCCTAGTCGTACCCGGCTCGGCAGTTGATTGGGCTGGACTTCGTTCGTTCCGAATGGAGGGGTGGTCCCTTAATGCGGAAAACAATAGGCCGCACCATCAACCCATCCCTGATCGCTGGCGTTTCATGTCGTCTCGCCTCCCAGCAAATCGCCGCCGGCGCAACGCCCAGCAGATCAGACCTCAGAGTGTCCCGTCTCTGTGTGGTGTAGGTACTATGGATGTGTTTGTGTTTGTGCGTATGTGTACGCGCGCGTGAGATCATCGTCGGACCGGGGGCCCTTGTGTGTAGGTTAGGTAGGTAGTGTTATGTAGCGCAGCGTAGTTGTAATTCACCCTGAATTAAGGCATAACGATGTAGATACTATGGAAGGGTCAGGTTCTTGATAATTAGCCAACGATATCCCCCTCCCCCAGGGTTGCATGATCGCTGGTGTTTTCCTCCTACTTCCTTTCCCTTCGTTCGATCTTCTTCCCGTTTTACCACAAAACAATCTGCTGTGTTGTTGTTGTTCCCGTGCCTGGTGCGCTCTCTTCTTCTTTCTCTTCTTCTTTCTCTTCTTCCTTTGCCGCCGCTGTCGCTCCTTGATCTCGACCGTTTCGTATAATACAAATAGCTTACCCTGTTCTCTCGGCGCAAATTATTATCGTCATTTTTATAGCACTTATTTTTTATGACGACTACTACGCATCGTGACGCTCGTTTTCCCAATCGTATACCCAGAATTACTGCCGCCCAAATGAATTCGAACATGATCACTCTTGGAATCCGAGCTGCCCAGCTTGTCTTTGGAATAATTCTGCTGGGTCTTACGGGATACGGTATGTCTAGCACACGATGGAAGGGGAAGGATAGTAAAAATCGGATATGAACAGCCGAACTAATATGAGTTGATGAATTAGTTGCTCACTGGTACAATGTGGACACATTGACATCCTCTCCCTCTCAGATCAACCTGCTGCTGTTTTCTTCGCTGCTCACGATCTTGTCCGTCTTCTACCTGGAGCTGGCGGCGAGGTTCGTTCCCAAAAGTGAGTAATTCTCGCACCCAAACCCAATCCGGCCTAAATAAGACGGCTGCCTACTACGAGTGATTCAGGAGCTGACCTCAATCTTAGTCTCGCACCCGCTGGCCGCGTTAGGCCTCATAGGCCTCAACGCAATTCTGCACTTCGCGGGATTCATCGCACTGGCGGTCTTCATGAGCCGGCTTCTCTTCTGCCGCGGCAGCGTGTGCGGCTCGGCGCGGGCCAGCATCGCCTTCGGCGCGATCGAGTTCCTGCTCTGGACCGCCTCCGCCGTCTTCGCGGGAAAGGAGGTGGTCCAGGGCGGCGGGTTCCTCCCGAAACGGGGTGCCAAGTCCCAGAGCCCTTTAAGGTATCCTTCCGAGATGAAGGAATCCGCCCCGCCCGCGTAAGCTCCGGCGCCGACGGCCGGCTGTCTGTTGGAAGAAGCAGCCGCGGCTATACTGATATCCCTCTCTCGCCGTACCGGCCGTCGGTCGACTTTCAGACGGAACAGAAAGGCTATCGGGCGCTGGGAGCACGTCTATTTACATAGGTAGAGGTAAAGGCTAAGGGGACTTACAACCCCTTGTAGTTTAGGTATAAGAACTGCAAAACTTGGGACTCGGGGAATGAAGGGGTTATGAATAGGAGATGAATTTGGGAATGGGAATTCGAGCTTGGTCTAGATGACTAGCCATTTAGTAAATATCCCTGGGGGTTTTGATGGGCGTTTCAAGGAACTATTTCGAAAGAGAAGAAAATAAAAGAAAAGAAAAATAATAGCTATAGCTAAAGGGAACTTATTTGACAGAACCCATGTTACGAGGATCGAAGGATTAAATTCAATATACTACCACCATTGTTGACTTCGAGTTGATGGGTTCTTTGAGTAGATGCCCTAAAGCATCGTCCATCGAGGACCACGAGTTGGAACAGCGATGTCGGCAAGCCTTGTCCAAATGGCATCTAGATCAACTTAATTACTCTAATCGTACCCAAGTTGGCGGTTACGAGGTACCTCGTACGGATCCGTATGCAGGTCCAATTCATGGAAGGTAGGTACCCCGATATCCTGCTCAACTCGCCAATACGGGAATACTGGAGTATGTCGCAATACAGCTTGGAGATGATGTCTTGCATACCCCCACCGTAGCTCATTCAGCTTTAATGTATACCAGGTATCTAGGATCCTACCTAAGTTCCCTAGCATGTGTGGGATGCCCCGCGGTAACCCCTCTCCTTTTGATAATCTAGGTAGTAGTAAATAACAAGTTGGGATATATCATCTATAATTCCTAGTAGGAGATAATTTGTTTGGTAAAACTATTACAAGTTCAATGTAAATGTCACTATTTTACGCAATATTTAAATTAAATAGAACCAATCAGGAAAGCCTTTGGAAGAAGGGAAGTCCGTTTGTACAGGAGATCGCTAACTTACACGGACTTACACGGCCAAACTACAAGCTCGCTAATACCTAGAGCTAAGGTACGCGCAACTCTAATATTGGAACTCAAGCAAGCTTATGAGTGATAGTCGATGGCGTGCTCTTTTACCCCGACTCCACAATTCCCTAAACAGGATCCCAGGAGTGACAATTCGGGTAGAGTACCTCATGTAGGTGATGCGCAAGAGAATATGTATACATATAAGTTAGGCAAGTGGTACACTTCCTTCCTATACGTAGTAAGACCTGTAGCTTGCGAATTCAAATACCTCTCTCTCCATCCCGCTTCTTGGGGTCATTGGACTTTGCAACATCTGACTTGATACCACCAACTCCAAGCCGAGACGATCCCCTCCATACCGGTGAACAATAACGTAAAGTCCAAAGACCGATCGCAATGGCAGAGGAATTAAGCAAGCATTTTGAGACTCTCCAGCTCCACGCGGGGTATGAATCTTAATCCGATACCCATAGGAACCTTAGAGAAGACACTGGTGACTAACACCACTATAGCCAGCAACCAGACCCGGCGACGAATTCTCGCGCAGTTCCTATATACGCGACAACTGTATGTTAACCCGGGAAGGGGAAAGATTAGACCCCATTAGGAGCTGACTTAAGCAATAGAGCTTCGTTTTCAATGATTCGGCACATGGCGCTAGGTTATTTGGTCTCAAGGAGTTCGGCAACATATACAGCCGGCTTATGAACGTTAGTAGTAACAGTCATGTTTAGTAGTTTGAGCTCATACTAACTTAGCCTTATAGCCTACTGTAGATGTCTTCGAGAAACGCATTGCTGCTCTAGAAGGTGGTGCCGCTGCTGTTGCAGCTTCATCCGGCCAGGCTGCCCAATTCATGGCTATCGCCGCCCTCGCTCATGCCGGCGACAACATTGTCGCAACCCCCAGCCTCTACGGTGGCACATATAACCAATTGAAGGTTTTCATTGCGCGGCTCGGAATCAAGGCTAAGTTTATCGAGAGCGACAAGCCTGAGGAATTCGCCGCAGCCATCGACGACAAGACGAAGGCCGTATATATCGAGAGTATTGGCAACCCCCGGTATAACATCCCAGATTTCGAGGCTATCGCCAAAGTTGCGCACGAGAAAGGTGTCCCTGTAATTGTAAGTAGCTTAAATCCCTCACCATACAAGAATATACTAGACGTTAACACGGACAGGTGGACAACACTTTCGGAGCCGGCGGCTACTTCGTCAGGCCCATCGAGCACGGCGCGGATATCGTCGTCCACTCGGCGACCAAGTGGATTGGCGGCCACGGAACGACTATCGCCGGTGTTGTCGTCGATAGCGGAAAGTTTGATTGGGGAAAGAATGGCGCCCGGTTTCCCCAATTTGTTGAGCCGTCTGAGGGGTACCACGGTCTCAAGTTCTGGGAGACATTCGGACCCCTTTCTTTGGCTATTCGCCTAAGAGTCGAGATTCTACGTGATCTAGGTTCTTCTCTTAACCCCTTTGCTGCTCAACAACTCATCCTCGGACTAGAGACACTGAGTTTGAGAGCCGAGAGACATGCGCAAAACGCTCTTGCGCTCGCAAAGTACCTCGAGTCTAGCCCCTACGTGAGCTGGGTGTCATACCCGGGATTGGAAAGCCATCCAAGTCACGAATTGGCAAAGAAGTATTTGAAGAGAGGCTTTGGCGGTGTCCTTAGCTTCGGAGTCAAGGGTGGTGGTGCGGCTGGAAGCCAAATCGTTGATGGCTTCAAGTTAATCTCTAACCTCGCCAATGTTGGAGATTCTAAGACCCTAGCTATCCACCCTTGGACTACAACACACGAGCAGCTATCAGACGAGGAGAAGATTGCATCTGGAACAACCGAGGATCTCATCCGTATTTCTGTCGGTACGGAGCACATTGACGACATTATCGCCGACTTTGAGCAGTCTTTCCAGAAGGCTTCTGCGGCGACAACGAAGGGAGATGAAGCGGGCTCTGGAGTGGAGGCTAAGCAGAAGGAGGCGCCAACTGTGGTTTAGATTCGTGAGAGAGTCTTTCAATAGCATGTAATTACCTAGGTACCTATATACCCCGATTTAAAGTAGAAACGAGTTTGTCTCTCCGGAATGAGAAGAGAAGTCGAAGCAAATTCATAGAAACGAATAGTGATTTTATATTGACATTGGACAAGTCACAATAATCACAAGTCATGAAAAATTTCGGAATTGTAAAGGTGAAGAATTAAGTGGACACTTATGTAGGTACTATGTAGAAGTCCATGTATACCAGCTATCCATGTATATTACGTTATGTGGTATAGATAGGTACTTATTTGATAGGGAAATTATTCTCATCGCAACTGCCCAATTTATATTATAATACGGAGCCTTTCTAAACATAATAAGTGTGTATGGGACTCTTCTTTCCCATAGTATACCTCTAACAGGCAGGTAACGGCAAGATCTATCTCCAACGGGGTTACACATGCATGTCCCCACATGTTACAAGTACCTAGTTATCTAAGGTACGTACCTCACACTTCACAACTTACAGCATCAAGGTAACCTTCGAAATCCTACAGCTTCAGCTTTACTTTGCCCACTTTTAGGCCAGCTCCCGCCCTCTTCCAGTCTCCCATAACCATCTACTAGAAAGGACCCCTATAACAAAAAGAAAGGCTACGAGCAAGGATCAAGATGCAAATAACCTTCTCAACGGCCCTCCTCGGCGCCCTCACCCTCCTAGCCGGCTCGCCCTCCGCCGCCGCCGCCAAATCCCAACGCCCGCCGCAGACGACCCTCACGCTCTGGGTCCCGTCCTCGCAGTCCCTGCCGAACCCGCACGTCCTCCCGCCCAGCACGCACGCGACCCTCTCGGCCCTGCGCGCGTCCTACGACGCGCCCCTCACCGCCGTCGGCTCCTTCGTCTTCCGCAACGTGACCCCGGGCTCCTACCTCGCCGACGTGCACTCCCCCACCCACGCCTTCGCCCCGCTGCGGATCGACGTCCTCCAGCACGCCCCCGCGGAAGACGACGGCGACGAGTCGGCGGCGAACGGGCTGTTGACCGTGCGCGCTTGGGAGACGTACCGCGGCAACGACTGGGATAATAAGGGCCAGGAGGCGCCCCGTACCGGCAGCGGGTTCGCGGTCAGGGCGTTGGGGCCTAAGGAGTATTTCATCGAGAGGAGTTCTTGTGAGTACCTAACCTTATATTCCGTCTTGTATCGCTTGGGAGGAGAAGGGGGGACACGGAAAAGAAAAAGAAAAAAAAAGGGAAGAGGAAAATGAAAATGAATTATATATATATATATATATATATATAGTGCTATTGACCTAACTAAGCTAACACCACCACCTACCCGCAAAACAGTCTCCGTCCTCAGCATCCTCAAGAACCCTATGATCCTCATGGGCCTCGTCAGCATGGCCCTGTTCATCGGCATGCCGAAGCTGATCGAGAACAGTAAGTCCCACCCCCGTTTCCCAATTTCCCTTTTCCCTTTTCTCAAAAGCACACCCATACACACCCACACCCACATATATATACATACCTAGGCACCTATGTATCTAACCGCACAAAACCCCCCTCCAAATAGTGGACCCCGAAATGCGCGCCGAGTGGGAGGAGCAGCAGAAGAACAACCCGATGAGCAGCCTCATGGGCGGCGGCGGCGGCGGCGGCGGCTCCAAGCCCGGCGCCAACTTCGACATGGCCGCCTACCTCGCCGGCCAGGGCGCTACCAAGAAAGACGAATCCGAGTCCGGGTCCGGGGACGCGAAGAAAGGGGGCAGGAGATGAGAAAGCCTAAGAGCGGAGAATAGTAGGGGAAACATAGGTTGGATAATTACCTACCTAAGTAGGTAGGTAGTCGTACAGAGAAAATATTTAGACGCGCTGGGAAATTAGAATAAACCAGGGTTACCTTAGAGGTATTTATGAAAAGTCCCCTAAGGTTAGGTACATAATTAACGACGACGCCTTATTTATTATTTTATAAACGGGACAACTTTGATTCCGGATTACTTCTTGGTTGGAAGAGATTAAAATCGCATTTCGCATTGCTACTGCCCATCGCGAGCATCTAGAACGAGCGTTCTATCTAGTCATACCTAAGGTACTGCCTCGAGACTTATATACCTAGGTAGGTAGTTTACACCGAAGCCGAATTTCGAGTTGATTTCGAATCTCAAGGTAGTCGTCTTCTTTCACTAACCCTCTCATCGTCCTCATCCGTAATTCTATTATATCCTCCCGACAATCCTCCCCTCGATCTCATGCATGCATAGGTAAAATCAACGCCTCTTGATGCCTGCTATGAGCTTCATATTGTCTCGTCTTCTCTTGCGTAAGTCGTGTAGTATAACCGGCTTACCAGCCCCTTCTCATTCTCTCTTGGTCCAGGCTCAAGTTGGTCCAATTTGAAGAAGGAAAAAAAACGCGAAGAAAACAAGTCGTTACATATGTGCTCCTATGCCTTTGTAAAAAAACAATAGGAGAGGCCTAGTATTAGGTGACGCTTCTGCTTTTTCTTTAGAAATCCCCACCAAAGTCGCCACCGCCGAAATCGCCATCGTTGCCGTCCTGGTACCCTTCCATATACGCCTCCTGCTGCCCGTCGTTGACCGCGTCCGCGATCAGCGCGCCGCCGAGCAAACCGGCACCCAGACCCAGCGCGGCGCCTCCCGCGGCGCCCATGCCGCCGCCGCTCTTCCTGGGCGGCTGCTGCTGCTGACCGTAGTATCCACCCTGCGGAGGATAGCCTCCTTGCGGCGGGTATCCGCCGTACGGGCCGGGAGGAGGGCCGTAACCCCCGTATTGCTGAGGGGGAGGGGGACTGCTGTAGTAGCCTTGTTGGGAAGGAGGGGTATTTCCGTATCCGTATGCGGGCTGTGGCTGCGGGCTACCGTATTGCTGCGATCCCGGGTATCCGCCGTGCGTCTTGTTCTTACCACTGCCGCCGAAGAACTTGCCCAACAGGCCCTTGGCCTTGTCGCCACTGCTGCTTCCCGACGGGCGGGGGGGCAGCTGGTCGGGGAACGGCGAGTAGCCTTGAGGCGGGGTAGGCGCACTGCTGTTAGCGTACGACTGGGCCGCACCTCGGCTGCGCGCGATCTCCTCCTCCTGCAACTGCCGAGCGAGCCGGGCGTCCGCGTCCTCGTCGAGGTGGGAGCTAGAAACGTTGCCGGGCTTCGTCGCCTCATTCACGAACGGGTTGCTGCTGCTCTTGGAGTCGGTGGGCGCGGGGCCGGCGCCCGGCGTGTAGCCCGGAGGGGGACCGGGGGGCGCGCCGTTGTCGGGGCGGTTAGGGTCTACGGCCGGCTCGGTGGGCTTTTCCCATTGGGATTTCTTGGTGTAGCTGTTGACGTAGAACCTGAAAGAGAGAAGAAAAAAAAACAAGGTTAGAAATAATGCTGACTTGGTTAAACGGGATGAGCATAAATCACAATTAAAGTAGAACTTACCATTCGTGGTACTGCTCATTCCAGCGAACGACCCAGCCTTCCGGTACCTTGGGAGGCGGTGGGCCGGAGGGAGGAGCGAAATCTGCCATGCGTGGAAAAGTTGAGGTTGATTTGTGTATAGGTATTATTAATATGGAGGTTTGTGAAATGTCGGGTTGATCGGTTGATGGATTTGATTTGTGCAAGGAAGCGGGGAGATGGTGAGGAGGGGTTTTAATTGTGAGTGAGGTTTGGTGTGAAAAGTGGTAGTTAAAGAATGTAAAGATGTATGTATGGTTAGATACAGGTAGGTAGGTATTTAATCTTGAGTTACTTCATGAGTGGGAAGTTTGGAAGGTGAATTGTAAGAGTAGATAGGTCGATAGGTGTTACCTAAACTGCACGAGTTCTTTCGTCAGCTAATAACGGAACTTGCAGGGTGGCCAGGGTGGCGGCTACCTTCTATGTACCTAGGTAGTACCTACGAATCGTACCTACCAAGTAAATCTGCCATGTACGTTCAAGTACCTAGGCAGCTAGGTTAGGTGCCTCCTATTAACTTCCCCGGATAGGTTGTGTAACCGATAGTGACTTATTGTTTGCCCCTCCGGGCCCCTTCCTCTTCCCCTTCCCCTTCGGACCCTTCTTTTGCTGGAGACCTCACTTACAACCAATTATCATCCAATTATCATCCAAGTTGAAACCGTTCTTGTCCTTGTCTTAAATCTCTCTCTTTTATTTATTTATTTATTTTTTATAAATCCTGTCACAAGGTTGAGGCTTGGTTTGAAGGTAACAGAGTTGATATCGTGATTCAAGTGTATGTGATACTTGGTAAGCTTCAGGAATGACTTAGATTGACTACTGACGATTCTACCTAGCGGGAATACGAAGCTATCTATATAGAAAATCGTCAGTATAGGCGTAGTGGTGCGTAGCTACGCGAGACTACGCTCCTGAGGGTGCCACGTGACAGGGAGGTCCTTCCCATTTCTCAAGGTGGCCCATGCGCCCTGCGCATGGCCTAATCTTGGGCCGCAGGCCCCAAGATTCGTAACAAATCCGTACCTTTTGCAGCACGTTATCTCTTATAGAAACAAGCTGACGACACCTAGCACAATGACAGTGTCGTGTGACCCTACTTTTACAAACCATAAATCAAACAAGCTCCTTTGGCATAGGAGCTACGTAAAGTGTATTTGAATTATGGTACCTAGCCCCTCAGCCAGCTTACGAATAATAAGGCTTCCGAGTCACCATAACAATAGTAAGTTCGTAAACCGGTGGCGACTGACAAAGCTTAGACATGTCAAGGAGGAGAAGGCGGTCTCACTTTGGCTTGGGGTTCGTTGTTTAGTATGAGTAGAGGAGAGTAGGAGCAGAAGAGTGGATTCGTAACTTCGACACTCATATGAAACTCGGCTAAGTACAAATATGAAATCACACATGGAGCTTTATTCGTAGGGCAGTGGTCAAGCAACTAGGTACATAATAGGTAGGTAACAATACAACTATAGGTAGAAAAACATTTTAACAACCTTCAACTCCGAGCTTGCATATGCTCCGTAGCGACAACTATCCCGTGAATTTTTTAGTAGAGGCGTAGATGAAATGTAAGGTATCGTAATCTCGATATGTTCGCCACTCGCTGGCGTGCCCTGTCCTAAGGGGTATCATTACGTTTGCGGTAGGCCTGGATTTTACGCTCACGATCCCTTTGTGCCTGAGCAGCCTGAGCGGCCTGAGCGGCCTGGCCGGAAGCCGGAAGCCGGAAGCCGGAAGGCAATGCGAACGCCGGGGCTGGACGTAGCCAGTCTTCGCTGCCGCAACAGTTGTGGTAGTGGTTGAATGAGGCGGTCGGAATCTTCATCAGTATCGATGATAGCGCACGAAGAAGACGGGTCCACCACCACCACCACCTCCTCCTTCTTTTTTTCCGTCTCCTCGTCCGTCACTTTCTTCTCCTTCTCCGGTGTGATTTGTTCCTGCATGTCGCTTACCAAGCCCTTGATCTTGCTGCCGCAGTCGGTCGCCGTGGCGGCGGCGGCCTTGTCCTTGGCTGGGGAGGCTTTCGAGTTGCCCATCTCAACAAATCGCTCCCGGACGTAGTTTCCGTACCAATCAGAAAACCCCTGGCAATCAAATGGGTTAGATAGATTGTAATGAATTGGAATAGATAGGTTTATGTCATGTGAGAACCGAATAGTGGTAGTAAAAGTATAGGAATGAGGGATAGGCAATAGGGATAGGAACATATAAGTATCTAACCTACGTAGAAATAAGATAAATAGGTGCTGATCACACACCGATCTTTATTTTCATTCTCGTCTTCCTCTTCCTCTGGCTTGTCGTCTTTGGTCTTGTGCTGTACCTCGGAATATACTTTTGTATCTTCTATCAATTAGCTCTCTTCGCCACTGTCACTATATTGACTTTGGCCTCTGGTATTGTTGCTATCTTCAGAAGTAAGCAAGTTGCACTTATTACATACAGTTATGTTTTCAGGATAAAGATAGACTGATGTCCGGTCAAGTGCAAGAAAATACTCGCGTTTTCGCGACCTAACAGGACATTTAGGAGGGGGCTCTCGGCTCTTTTATAGTATTCGGCATCCTATAGCCCGCCCTATGTTCTGAACTTTATATGAGCCAGTCTAACCGGTCAGGAAGATCGTAAAACCCACCGCCACCTGAGGAACTGTCCTAACCATGTTACAAATAGTCGAGTGCTTTGCGTCATTAGTATAATGACTACTAAGCGGGAAAAAACCAAAACCAAAAACAAAACAAAACCTAAGCAGTCTTAATTCTAGCAATGTCCAATCTCGAGACTCCTACCCACAGCCGTTGGCGGCCTAACGTTAACGCCGAAGCTAAAAAGTGCAATATGTCGTTGAAAAAAAAAAGGCCGTCAAACCATATCCCGTTCATCGTACCGCCTCTCCTCAAATAACCGCGCGGCCTCGATACAGTAGGTCGCACGTTCACTACCTAATCGCCTCTCACTAGCATAGCATATAAGCACACCGTCGAGAATACCTGATAGGATACCTTCCATTGCGCCCAACACGCCCCAACCAATCATACTAGCCACTATACCGACTACATACGCGTAAGCACTCCCTCTAATGCCCGGACCATCAGGTATTTGGACCTGCAACTGTCGTGCGGTCATAACCCATGCCGCAAAACCCAAAGCTGTTGACATGACAACTCTTGCGGCATGAAGGAGCATTTTCGCCATTCTATAAGGCATTAAAGACGAGGTTGACTGTCCACGCCGGGAAAAGGCGCTTGGTGTAAGGGTTGTAGTAGGTCCCGTAGCAAGAAACTGTATTCTACTTAGTTGTGACGCTGATTCCATTAGGGGTAATGAATGGATCGACGCGTATGTCAGCGTTAGAGGGTTTGTTAGGACTGATACCGGGCGCGGGGCTAGGCGCCATCCTATAAACTCAAAGATGCTCGAGATTCGGCGGGGAAGAATCAGAATGGGAACTCGAACTGCTAGGGATAGTAAAGTCGAGGCGCAAATAGTGCCAAATACCGTAGTCGTGGAATGTCCCAGAGCACCCTTGACAATCGCATTCGACGAGGCCGGCGACTGGTTATTGCGGAAAAAGTACCAGTTCGAAACGGTACCTCCAGTAGTGGCGCGAACTACTCCGCTCATAACGGAGAGAGTCCAAACATACATGAGGAAGAAGAATACCGCTAACCACCAAGTCGCAGTACCAATGACGAAGGCCGAGAGCGACTTGGAAAAGTAACCACCGAGGAAAATTCTCGTAAACATCCATAACCATATCCACGTCCACCCAACAACGAAGCCCAGAGAACCAAGCCCGAGTAGCACTAGCGCCGGATTGGCTGCAAGGATGCGACTAGAGAAGTCTAGAATATCGACGGCCCTCTGTATTTCGTGACGTCCCTTGTATAGTAACCACACCCATACGATTGCGCATACTCCCGGGATGATAGAGGCATACCTCATTACCACGTCCTGTACGCGTGATCCGTGGTCTGGTCCCTGGAAACTGGAAACCATCGGATACAACGAAAATGAAAAGAGGACGATCGGGACGCCCAGTAGGATGAGTAGAGCTAAGGGTTGTACAAAAGACCTCAGGGCTGCCATCCAAACTAGGGCGACAACGATTGAGACTAGGGTATCTACGGCTAGGAGGTAAAAGGACGAATGTAGCGTCGTGTAGATGGTGTCACCAATCTTCCTGCCGGGCACAGATGTATGCAACCAGACCAATACGAAGGTCGCGAAAAGGGAGGCAACAGCTATAAGATAGATCCATGCGAAGAATTGATCATGCACGAAGATCTCGCCATACATTCGCGTAGGCGCAGGCGTAGGGATCTCGTTTCGTTCTTCTTCCTCGGTCTCATCTTCCTCCGCTATAGCCTGTCGCATCAGACGCCGATCGTGCTCTAAATTTGAGCCTCTCCGTCCAGCCAAACCTTTCGGACCGCCCGACCCGGATTTGAACTGCTGGAATGCGGGCGGTGCCGAATCTGTGGGAGTTTCTTGCAATAGGTCATCGGGTACCTCATTATCCAATACTGTCGATTCTAGGCCGATATCGACCATCTTTCCACTCTCATCCGTATCAGGGCTCTGCCGTTTATTCTGTTGGCTGCTCAGGCCGTGTGGCTCATTGGTTACATCGTGCTTTGAATGCCTCTCCTTAAAGCTCGATTCCCCGTTCCAGCTACTCTTGATACCGCCTATGGGACGAGCGCTTGAATACAGGTTCCCATACGAGTCGCTCCCATTATGCTCGGACGAGGCGCGAAGATCGTCATTCTCCGAAGCCGAGCTCTCCTCTAGCCGGCTCGAGACGAAAACCCGACGCGATCGCTGCAAGGCCCGAAGGTCAGCAGCCTCTCTCGCATCGTCCTCATCTTCATCTTCTCGGTACTCGTTTAAGGCACTGTGAAAGAGCGGAGCATCCGAGGTAGTATTGTACCGGGAGAAGCCTCCGAATCGCGAATTCGAAGGTTGATAAGGGTTTCCTAGTCGGGTCTGGTACGTGGACCGTGTTGGATGCCTAGAGAGTCGGCCTGCGGTGGCTTGGGCTTGTCGGTTTGAGGGTTCGTTGTTGTCCGGCTGCCCGAAATTGGATAACCGTGATTGCGACTGGGCTAAGAACCTAGACGCATCTTGGAAGCAAGGCGTCAGACATTAACTTATAAGTCAAAAAGACAGAAGCATAACTTACATTCTGAGAACATATTCGATCAAAGCGCAGGAGCGGGTAGACTCCCGCAGATTACGATAAGGGTGACGATGAGGAAAGTCGTGTAGAAAAGGTTAGGCAAGCTCTTGAGGAGATATGCAAATGCAAATGCAAATTAATCAACGGTGGCGATGGCACAGTGATGTAAACAACAATACGACCTTCGGATGGTTATGATAACCTTAACTAATAATAAGGAAACCCCCGGATGATCTAATAAAACCTGCCAATAAAGAAAAGGAAATAAGGTAAACTAAAGGTCCTAGGCACGGAATTTTCAATATTTCAGACCGGTGGGAAAAGAAGGATTTTGAAAGAGGAATACGGTTAAAGAAAAAAAAATTAATTTTCGGTAGGACGGTAGCTGTTGGGTTGGGACTACGGGCATCGTCGTGAGAAATGATGTAGATGGACGGATTGATGGATGACTCCCGGATTGCTCACATGCAGGCGTCCAATGCTCATACATAGTAGTAGATATGTACATAGTACAGTACAACCGCTCTGCTTATCCGAACTTAGGACCCGCTAGAAATCCATTACGGAAGCGGTCAAAGTGGAAATAGCGGGCAACCGTTGCCTGCGTCTGTCTGCCCGGTCTGCGTAGTAGCTGCGTAACGATGAAGAAGTCCCACCGACTTCCTTATTGCTTAAAGGAACCCTGCAGTATTCTGTACTTACTGTACAATACATGATCCAACCACTTGCATTTTATTTTGACTTACATAGTAAAGCAGCTTATCGAAGATAAGATAGGCATTCTACACCGTGTATCATACAACGCTTGGCCAGCCAGCCAGCCAGCTTAGACATACAGGTGCGTATTATCATGGTTGCCTAAGTATTGTACGACGAATCACCTTGTTAGTAGATAGGTATAAAAGTCACCACATCCACTGGCCGATATGACTTCTTATGAGATGCGGGCGTATGGTGCAAGTTCCGATCACGAGCCTTGTATAAAATACCAGGTGTCGAGATATGTCTAGCTAGGTGAGGTCATCCACCCTAAATCAGGCGCTATCGGCGCTGCCCAGGTGTTACCTAACAGCCTCCCAAGCTAGTAAACCTTGTACATACCTACAATACCTAGGTACCTATGTACATACAATACCGATGGGGAAACCCCCTGCTACGACCTAGGATCCTGGTTGGAGCCTGCCCAGGTGGTTAGAAGGTTAGGTAACCTACCTAAGATAGGTATCGTACTTGGTACCTGAGTTAGCATCCATCGAACCCGTCGGCGTACATTATCGATAGGCCGGGGATAAGCTGGGGGGCGGAGAATTAGGCGGGTTCCAAGCTGATCCTAGGCGACATCATCGAAATAACCTGTGCCATTTATGGCCTTTGGACTTACATGTACGCAACTAACTTGTCTACCCTTACCTTGCCTACCATCTATCTACCTTAGACTTACATACTTTACTTTACTTTACCTTACCGTAGGTACCTACATTTATACTTACATTTACATCCTGCATTTACATCCTACCTAATATTATTTATTCTCCTTCACTTCACCACTTGCATAAAAAACAGTCAGCCAGTCACCTTTTCTTTGTCGTCCTAAGGTAAAACCCTCCTATTCTTTCATAAACCAAACATCTTGTCTCTGTTTCCACTTCCACGTGCTTTAGTAGTATTTTATAATAGTCTTGTGCCCTTCGTTATCGTTACCTACCTACCCTTGAACCCCGAAAAAAACCAAATTTAAAAACTGATTCTTGATAGAAGTAGTTAGCGAAAGAAGCACGCATTCCATACACACCAGCAGCCGGCTTACAACGAAGCCTTCTTCTTCCCACTCCCCGTTACGCCAGCTTCGGGTGTCGTCTTGTGACTACTAGACTTATTATTGTTATTATTATTGTTGGTGTTGCCGTTGTTGTAATGTCTTCCGCTCCCTGGGACTACATCGCCAAGCTCGTCTGCATCGGGGACTCGGGATGCGGTAAGTCGTCGCTCACGATCCGACTTTGCGAGGGGCGCTTCAGCCCGCAGCACGACGTCACCATCGGCGTCGAATTCGGCTCTAGGATCGTCCCCGTTGGCCCGCCGCACTCCAAACAACAACAACAATCATCGTCCTCTTCCTCCGTGGCCGACGGGGGCCTTCCCGATCCCCCCCGCGCCTCCTCCACCACACCACAGAAGCACATGAAATTATCCCTCTGGGATACGGCGGGACAAGAAACGGTGTGTAACTAACCCGATCCCTCCCCCCAATCCTGGTCGAATCACAGGATGCATTCGATTTTAGAGCCTAGAAGGTGTTAGGGGAAACAAGCAGACCAAACCAACTGACTAACTCATCCTCTTCCCCCCTATCTACGTAGTATAAATCCGTAACCCGGTCCTACTTCCGCGGCGCTTCCGGCGCCCTCCTCGTCTTCGACATAACGCGGCGCTCGACCTTCGACCACGTAACCGACTGGCTGAACGACCTGCGCGCGATCGCCGACCCGGACATCGTCGTCATCCTAGTCGGGAACAAGCTGGACCAAGCGCAACCCGACAACGACAACGACAGCACCAACGATAAGCGCGAGGTCCCCGCCCAGGAGGCCCACGACTGGGCCCGCCGCAACGGCGTCCTCCAGTACGTCGAGACCTCGGCCAAGTCCGGCGAGAACGTCGAGGAGGCCTTCATGCGCGTCGCCGAGCGCATCTTCGAGAACATCAACGCCGGCAAGTACGACCTCAACGACCGCCGCTCCGGCGTCAAGGGCCCCGGCCCCGGCGCTGGCGCGAAGAACGTTCGCTTGTCCGCCGCCGACGCCGGCAGAGGCGCCGCCGCTGGTTGCTGTTAAAAAGTTAAATAAATCATTCTATTGGCAAATTACGACGAGATCGGGATCCAATAATAAATATATAAGAAAGGTAAAAAGAAAAAAAAAAAGAGAAAAAAAAAAGAAGGAATGAGGAAAGGAAAGCGAAGGAAAGGGGAAGGAATTGGCAAGTTGGGCTAACGTGCGTTTATCAGCAAAGTCTCATGTGTTAGACCGAGACGAGTTTGACTTAGGAGGACTTAGAGAGAGAGAGGGAGACAGAGAGAAAGGTCCTAAGATCACAAGCTCCCGGGTCCTGGGTCCGGGTTTGCTTGTGACTGTACTGTACATATACTTGCACCTGCCGGAGGCATCGCACACGCATTCGATGATACCCTACGTAATAATGTCTACTTTTGAAGCATCGACTACGACAAGGTGATACTTCACCACAAGGAGCGACTTTTCTTGATTAGAAAAGGGAAATAAAAGACGTAATATTAGAAAGCGGTATGCTGCTGATGAGTAGTTGATCTCTTTTTTTTTGTTCCCCAGTATGCCTCATCCACGTTTTACCACCATTAACTCCGCTCTCTAATTCCCCTTTTCATGCAAGTTTGCCTTCATATCGTTACATCAAACCAAGAAAAATAGAGGAGATGGAGAAGATTGATCGATGGCCGTTATAACCAGATGGTCCGGATCGCCATGTTCTATATGAATAACAGTTGAGGCTGATGAGCCTACCCAGGTACCTAACCCTACTATCGCTTCGTCTCCTTCGTCCCCTGGATTCGATTCGACCTCTTAGTCGGAGATGCGCCAGGTGTCAAACCACTTCATGTACTTGTACTTCTGGTTGCTTCCTGTCATACCCCAGCAGATGGGGATGAAGAAGATGTATAGGCCGATGATAGTAGCGTATAGGATCGTGTAAATACTGTACTGGATCACTTTCTTCTGGTTCCTCAACAACCAATCAACCAAGAAACCCAAACTTAGGATTGCAAAGTACAGCGCTGGGTAGTAATGGTGAACGTAAGTAACTCGGGCCATGATAACGAAGGGGAGGTAGTGAAGGAACCATCCCAGGATGGGGTATATTCCAGCGTAGTGAATATGATCCACATCATCTTGCGTAAGATCGGTGAAACCTCGTCGCCATCGGAGGATGTACCAAACAGTAACGAGGCCGACGGCACCGAGGGAGGCCGTCGAAGCCCAGTAGACAAAGGGGTTACCTAGAAGGAAGTACTTGACAATCTTATCATCCCAGCCGCACATACGCAAGCCGACGTTCAGGATGGGCCACTGCCACCACTGAGAAGCGAGGTCGTCTTGCTTATCGGGGTCAGGCACCAGGGCGTTGTTAGATGTCATCATGGCAACATTCAAGTGGATGAAGTCATGGAAGAAAGGCGACTTGTACTTGCCAGGGTCTCCCGGAGGAACTGTGATTTGCTTAATTAATGGATATCCAGACATTAGGTATTCAATGGAACTTACGCTTGTCGTTAGTGTGGGCTTCGACGTTCCAGTGGGTGAAAGTATCACGGGGGTTGTTCTTTTTGTCACAGGTAACCTCGATTTGCTTGAAACCCCATTGAGGAAGGTTGACGTTGGCGGCTCGGAGATAACAGCCCATAACCGGATTTCGCAGCCTGAAAGCGGTAGTCAAAGTTCGCACACGACTCTTGTCGCGGGAAGACACGTCCTTGACGATTTCGACTTGCCAATGATCCTTATCATCGCCAACAGTAAGATTACCGTAGCAGGACACCTCCTTTTGGCTCTTGGTAACAGGGGCAGCGATATCATGAGTGTGGAGGTTTCGTCCAGTCTGCGAATGAATTAAGCGGATAGTATCGCCGTTTCCAATAAACCTAGGCTCTTCCTCCGGGTTGTAGTCGCGTTCGTGACGGTTAGGGTAAAACCACCATTCATTGTTGGCATCTTTATGGTGATAGCAAGTAACTTGCTGCTGAGTCGAACCCTCGGGGTAGGCTTATAGCAGGTTAACATAATTTGTGCGTAATACAATGAAGAACCGAATACTCACTCTGAACGTGACTGTGGAGGAGACCACCACCGTAACCCATATTCTTCAGTGTCACTTTAGAACCAATGGCGACTTCCAGGGGAGAGTTCCGTCCAATCTCACTACCTTCCAGGTTGGCTTGGAAGAGGGAGCTCATCTGCGCATCTCCTGGTCCGCTCTTGGTCAAGATAGCAAAATGAAGCGCGAAGGAGAACATATAGACGAGCAGCGGAATAATGATGAGACCGACGACTCGAGCGGCGACATGGCCAGCGAGGACCGGAACTGGCATCTTGGTGTTACCAAACTTGTTCCATAAGTCTTCGATCGTGTAAATGCCGACGAGAGCCGTGACAAAGAGCCCAACAAGCTTGATACTGCAAACGAATCCTAAACTCAACCCTGTCATAAACAGCCAGAAGAACCACTCGGGCTCGAAGCTGTATTTTTGCTGGCGATGGAACTTGGACCAGCAGAAGACAGTGGAAACAGTACCGAAGAGGAGCATAGAATCGAGCAGGATAAATCGGCTAATCGTAGTGTACGAGTTTTCACACAGAACCATAAGTGTAACTAGCCAGACAGCAGGCCGTCTCAACTGTAACTCCCTAGCAGTGTAGTAGGCCAGCGGCACACATAATATTCCCCAGAAGGCATTGAAAGCTCGCATGAAGGTGTAGTCGAGCTCCTCGGGATATGTCTCACCGGATTTGAACTCGAACGACCCATTGTAACCCGCTAAGACTCCGGAGAGACCAACAAGGATTTTACCAAGAGGGGGATGCCTATTCCATGTATTAAAAATAATATCCCAACCGAGAATTCGGGTCGTACTAACACATCGAAAAATAGTTCACGTTTAATATAGTGGGATCCGAATTTGCCGAAGCTATAAAGAAGAACCATGTGTTAGTGCTACGGTGAAAGGACAGATGGAAGGCTTGACGAACTGAGCTTCCTTTTGAGGCTGTTAGCAGACATTCTGGAACTACCTAATGGTTATTTAACTTACATCCCAAGTAACAATTGGGCTTAGGCCAATCTTCCATAGACGTGTGAAAGCGGCGAGTGCAGTGAAGATCAGAGGGGCAATGATGACCTCCCACTGATCAAGTACATCGAGGAACGAAGACTGCTACGGATGCCAGAGTAAGCTAATAATCCAACAAAGACTTGCCGCAGGTACAATGTTTGTTTATACCTTCTTCTTTCCATGTATTTTCTTCTCGTCCAGCTGCGGCTGTGCTGGAGCTCCAGGGGCAGAAGCCCCGGGTACGTTTCGTCGACGAGCAGCATCGCCGGCGGGATCAGCGCCGGAGGCGACTGCGGCCTTGTCGTCGGCCATGGTAGAAAAACTATCTCTCAACCCTTCTTTCCAATAAAAAAGGTGGAAATGGGGAGAAAGAGAAGAAGATAGTGGGAACGAGTGTTAGGGATTGGGTTGGTGTGAAAGAGGGCTTTCCGCTTGAAGGAAAGTTACCTGAAAAAAAATGAAAAAAAAAGACAATGGTCAAGAAAATGAGGGTCCTGAAGAGAACAGATTATAAAATCCGGTCAAAGACGACAAAAGTAGAGCATTTCTCCCTCTCTCTCTCACGCACAAAAAAAAAGGACAGAATTGAAGTCTTGACCACGAGAGAGAGAATACAATGGGGGAAAGCTGAATCCTCGAAGAAAAGTTGAGGCAACGTTAGAGAAAGGTGAAAGGAGAGATGTTGCGTGGCTTGTACGATAATGATAACACGAAATACGGGATACCCTAGCCGCAGTCCGGGCTTCAGTTGGCACTTACATGTACGTACCTTGGGTACTATACTACTTCCCAACTTCCCACCTGGGTCTTCCACTCATATTTTTTTCCTGTCTCAGCTGAACCGATTTAAAAAAGAACAGGTGAAGAACAAGCTGGATAGGGATACGCTAAAAATGTTATCCCCCCCTTGTCCCCCCCGTGCAGCTAGCTTTATTTAGCATCATCCTACAGGTAGTTTTTATCTGCCCTAAATAAGTGCTTTACTTAATTAATGTTAGGTACTTTGACAACGTTTCATGACATGCGCGTACAACATCAAATTGATGACACTTTGAAATTGTAGGTAACATCCTTGTACCTAGGTAGGTATGTACCTGTAGCCCGCCAATGAATTCAAAGCATCCCATAGGCCCACCTCCACGGCTCTAGCTTCTAGGTATCCCACTTCGTCGGTCCTTAGCTAAGTAGTTCCGACGTTACGGTCTATCTGTCCATCTAGCTTCGAAATCAGGTCCACGAGAGGTACCTATTCTAGAACCATAGCTACATCTCCACCCGACAAACATGTGATTGACAATAAAAAAATTCTAGACCTGTTATATAACATATACATAGGTAGTGACATCGAATTGAGTATAGTTGTACATCTGAAAAAATATGTAGCTGAAATATGTACCTAGATGTACATTTGACATAGATATAGATGAAAACTTTCCACCTGCGTACTATTTAATACCAAAACTCGACTAGCCAGGCTTCACTCTTGGGATTGGGTTTCATCAGGCGTCATTGCAAATGGCTCGTTGTTGGTTCCCCGTTTCATATTAAACTGAACAGACTCCCTCGAGAGGTATCTAAAGCTCATAATCTCCGCCCTGGACAGCTGGTAGATACCATATCTCAATTAATAACCCTAAGTTCGTCGGGACACAGCCTATTATACGAAAAAAAAGGAAAAAAAAGGGGGGGAAGGTCTCTCCATCGTGATATATTATGACCCTCATATCTCTGTTTCCCTTTATTCTGTGTCACTCATCGTAGGGTCCCTCGCATGATGCGCTGGATGACCCAAATGCAAAACACTTTACCATGATGCTGGAATGCGGCCGTCGTGGCCGTTAGGATTTCCACCGCGCCGTCTATATGAACCAGAGTCTAGTAGTCTCCTGTAACAAATTCCAATAACCTGCTGTCTCGTGAATTTAGTCATCTCGCTGGTCTAATGGAGCATATCTGCCTCCTCCGGCTGGACTGCTGCTTCCTCCCCGATTCTGCCCAACCATCCTAGTCAGCCACTCGCCTACGCGCCCTCGTGAACTTTGGCTCTCAGAGCGTAGTTGTGGCTTTCCATCTACGATGTTGACGACGGGAGGGTCAATGTCCATCGAGGGGATGTTAGCGTCTGAGCCAAGCGGCCGTCCCCGAAGGTCGAGCGAGGGCACGGGCGATCCCGCCCTAACTAGAGAACCCGTCTCAGACCTCACGCCAGGGGTTCCTACTGCCGTGCTAGCATCTCCAAAGAGCGAGTCCATATCTTCTAATCGAACTCCGCAAGTTTCGGGGTATATGAAATACACTAGTCGTGGTTAGCGTCATTGACAAGAAAGCACTACATAAACCATGTAAACCATATAAACTATACTTACCCACTACAAAACTGACCACACAGAAGAAGGCGTGCACCAGGTACAGTCGCCACTTAATCCACTCTTGAAGAATAGGCGTCATTTCACCAACCAGCCAGTTGAAAGCCCAGTTGGCAGCGGTAGACAAACTTGCTCCTTTCGATCGAATGCTGAGTGGTAGGATCTCTGGCGGATATAGCCAAGGAATAGGTCCCCATGAATAACCAAACGCGGCATTGTAGACCATGACGAAAACGACAACCAAAGTTTTTGTCGCCTCGACATCCAAATAGATAAAGTACGATACCAAAGATAACGATATTGCCATCGCAACGGCGCCTGTTAAGAGAATAACTCGACGTCCCCATCGATCGACTATATACCACGGTGGGATTGTCGAAAGGAAGTACGTTATGCCGTTGATACCAGTCATCTTGACTGCATCGTGACCGATCCAGCCACCGGACTCGAAGACATAAGGCGCATAGTACGAGATAACATTTATGCCGTTCAGTTGGGCAAGAGCTTGCGCAGACATGGCGATGAAGACTCGGGTCTTGTAACGTCGGAACATCTCCGAGTAAGATCGCTCGCCTTCCATGCGCTGGAGTAGGACGTTCATCTTGATTTCCCGATATTCCTCTCTTGCCTTGTGGTTGTGAATGTCACCGCCACCGTACAGATTTGCGATAACCACAATACCTTCCTCATCGTGGTCATTATCTAATAACCATCTACAGATGGTCAACGCAAATAGCTTAAAATTAAGGATGGATGGGGCATTACCTTGGGGATTCGACAATAATCAAACTACCGAAGCCTAGGAGGGCTCCCATGACACATTGCATTAGCAGGGGAATACGCCATGACATATCGTTCTCAATGAAGCCGCAGAAGTAGTCAACCCAGACCGACGTCGTGTAACCGATAATGTTACCCGAAAACTCGATACAGGCCAGTTTACCCCTGTTGTGAGGGGGTGAAATCTCGGATTGGTAGACAGGCACGATAGTTGATAAGGAACCAACACCCAGACCTGCGATAATTCTGCCTAACATCATCATGGGCATGTTGGCAGCGAAAGTCTGCAAAGCACCGCCGACGAAAAAGATCATAGAACCATACAGAATCGTTCTCCGCCGACCGATGATATCGCCGACTCTTCCTACTACTAGCGACGATACTAAAGCACCAATCTCAAGGATAGCGACCATCGTACCAATCTCTGCTTTCGAGGGATTCTTGAAGTAATCCCTAAAGAACGGGCCTCTACAGTAGCGTTGTTAGAGATGGAACGGTACGGTACGGTAAGCTGAAGTGAAATGATCGTTGAGCTCTTACGTGATGATGCCCGACATAACTCCTTGGTCATATCCAAACAGAAAGACACCTAACGAGACGAATATACTCGTAAAATAGCTGTGAAGATAGTCAGCACGTGTTGATCCGGGTGCTTGGGAACGCGTAATGCGAACATGAGGGGCTTGCCCGTGAGGCCGTGTATCCCGGCGCCCGGCATGATGGCGGCCAGTAAACGATCTGCCCTCGAACGGCGACGTGGAGGAACGTCAGGAACCTCGATGGCTTCTTTATCAATAGTCCCGGAAAAGGACAAGGATGTAGAAATACGACGATTACTATGTTCGGAGACGGATCTTCTAAACTGAACGCGTTTATGCTTGGGATGACGTTTCAGGACCCCCGAGAATAGGTCCTCATTTACGGAGGTATCGGCGAGGGTCTTCCGCAAGGGATCCTCCTCATCTGCCAACTGCTCTGCGATATCACCGGTATCAGTCCAAGAGTCAAAGTCGACAGAGTCGGAGGAACGTCTCTCGTGAGAGTGCTGATCTCGGTGGGCGGCCAGTAATGACGTCGATTGGGCGCCGTGGTCGGATAGATTAGTTAAAGTCCTCAGAGGAATGTTTGAGGGAAGACGGTTTGATTTTGGTGAAGGAATTTTGGGAAAGGTTGGGGCTGTTAAGCAGCAGCGCCCTCCTGCGGTTGATATTATCGATTGGAATTGAGTTGGGGGGGATGGGTTAGGGAATGCGGGAAAAGGGTGGAGCGAGTATATAGGACAAGACAAGCCGCCCAAGATTCAAAGTCATCCGGGCTTTTTGACGAGTGACGAAAGGCGTCGACAAGTTTTCGAACCAGCAACGCAGGTCGGTGGATCAACAAGCACAAGACACATGCAACACTGCGAAATCTTGGTCCAAACAAGCTGACAAGGTACCTCCACGCACTGTAGGTAGGTACAAATACAACTTTTATTTTTAAGACCAACCGGATCAACCGACCTATCCCGAGAACGGAGTCGACTTCAAGGTAATATTGATTAAATAAATAAATAAAAAACCGTAACTAGAATTGGTATTTTACTCGAATGGGGGAAAGTTAACCAATGTAAGTAGGAATAGGTAAAAATTTAAAATGTATATTGAGATAAGTGATTGAGAAAAAAGGGAATGAATTGTGAGTAAGTGAAGCAAGTTTCATAAAAAAAAGGAAAGAAAAAAAAAAGATGGCTCTTTCGGAACAGAGGGACAGATCGATAAATCCTAACCTGCAATCCCCTATTTTTTTTTTATTTTTTTTCAGAAGTTCAGGGAGTGAGGATTAACAAGCCGCTGATCTTACTGATCTTACCTAGGTAGGCGGTCTTGGGCATCTTAGCCCTTTATGAAAGATGTATTGTACTCCGTATACCAAGGCACTGTACAGCAACCTTTCTTTTCTTGCGGTAATTGCAACGGTAAGCCTTGGAGGTTTCATGGTAGCTGCGGTTCTTTGGTGTGGGGTAAGCAAACCCCCACAGCCAGACTATAGCCAGATCCTGAGCGTCCTACAACAGATGCGGTTTGCCTGAACTCACCCGTCCCTACAGCCCGAACACAGCCCTTGCCGCACCCGCACCCTCTTTTGATTACGGGTGAAAAACTATTCGACCACATGTACCATACCGTATTCTTTACATAAAACAACTGTGCTTCGTACGCCGCGACAATTCATATTTTATGAGCTGCCGCAACGTCTAGAATTATTGCTAATACCGCCTTTAGATTATATAAAGTCTTAGCCAAGCTTAGGTACCTACCTATCGTCTTCATCCGAGCTATTCCACAATTACCTAAAAGTCCTTATGTACGTACCTCTTAGATGCAAGGCAGAAAGATGGTCCATCACATGATGCGCTTAGAGTCTAGGTAGGTTTATCAGGCTTTCCCGTTTACCTACTTTGATGGGGGTCATCTTTTCTATTTTAGAAAGCCAAGCTACGCAAATCAGCCCCCATTTAGGAAGACGCATACGAAATTCTACAACATACAACACATGTCAAATCCTCTTTTTTCAATTCAACGAATGAAGCAAACGAGATGTAGAAGGTCGAAGAGAATTAGTCGGGTCAGGTGTTACTAGCTAGTTACATATTCAGCCGTCGTCTAGGTATGGCGGCTCCAGTATTGCCCCAGTCAGCCAGTCTACTCGCGTATGCGCCGGTATGCAAATAGACCCACGATAGCATCATAGCATGAAATATTGCTCCCCTTCTCCCCCAGCCGGTCAACACAAATGTCACTTGAGGGTGCAACACCCCAGAAAATGCCCCTCTTCAAAAGAAACCCTTTCCCAATCCTACAAGTTGTCTTAGATCGTTGCTCAGATGTTTGGGGAAGGCTTTGATCACGGGCGCCTTCTTACTGTAAAAGCTTTTTGAAGCCTGGAGAGTGTTCGGCTGATCATCTAATCTAGTGTTTTCCACTCAGTCTCCCCCCCTTCACCCCCTCCCTCCAATTCCCCTCACCCCAGAGTCCCTGAGTTTACACGCACGTGGAAAGGAAATATATACTAGGGTATGGTTGAAGTTCTTGAAGACTTATTACTACTAGTCTAGTCTAGCATCTCAAAACTCACCACTTTTAATCTCATTGACATCTAGTAGCACAGACATGTTTGTTTAAGCTTACCTAGGCCTGATCAGAAAACCCACCTTTAGGGCTCGTTCTCACAAAGGTTATCATTTATAGCAAGTTCGGGCTATGCTACACTCAGGTGTAGGTAAATGGCTTTCGAGTTACACCATTGTGCGCAATCGTTCAGACCCGGCATTTTTCGAGATTTAAATGAACCTTTCGACTTAACTATCAACTACCATCAACAACTATACGCTTACTTATAATTTATCAGAGCATCTGCAAACTCCGCTCTAGTTCGTTGTTTTCTTGCGTACCCTTCCAAGCTATTCATCCGCCCTCCGAAACTAGAAAGCTAGAAGGATAAGTCTACTATTAAGCATTGAGTGGTCAGATGGCAAATAAAAGCCCAAATTAAGAGCGGGCTGAGCACCACTCATCATCGGCCACTGACGTCGAATACGTTAGATACCGCGATCTGAGAGGTACAAAGAAATATGGCTGAAACGTTGCGGTTCCCTGCCATTATTTTACTACGCGCGCTGCCGCTTCAATTATTCCCTAAATATCAAGGACCCGGATATTGAATCTTGAATGCATACCATCGCGATAGTCATTCGGGCGTTAACATCCTTAGCCAGCGGTAAAGGGTAACTACTTTGAGACACTTGAAGACATCAATTGGTTGCGGCGCTCTAAGTGGCTTATGAGTCCAGACTCTAGAGCAATGCTTTACAATAACTATCATTTAGATATATTGTGCGATACATTCTTGCGGTTTTGAATGTCTCAAATCGGCTTCCATTAGATACCATTCGAACCGCCGTTAAACCATTAGAATCACCAATATGGTAACTAGTGGTTGGTGCGCTTGATCTACATGTAAGGCGTCTATGTAATGTATGTATGCATTTCTGGCAAACGGACCGTACCTAGGCGAATTCATCCAAGATTGCATAAAAGACTAACCTAGGGTCGGCGGGTAGTGCTGACCTTGATCCAGGGAAGGGTACGGCGCAAACCTAAGGTCTACGGGTATCTCAAGCAACCATATTGGCGTACCCCGGTATTCAACGGCCCTTCCCATCGTCATGCCCGTGTCACATTGTATGTAGGTACGGACCTTACACGGATCCGTACATACACAACCCAGTTCATTAAAGATACCTCAGACTACAATATCTTGGTATCAATAGCCCCCAAGCGATGCTACCAAATACCTATATTCCCAACAATCACAACAGAACGTGTTATCGAACATGTGGCGATGGGACGCAAGGTACTACTAGTACTACTATGTACGAACAGCTAATGGGATAAAATGTTGTCATCTGTAAGTGGCGGGACAGCAAACCTTGTTATCGCGAAAGGCTACAATACAGTTCATCACGCATGAAGATGATCCAATCCAAATCATTTTACAGGTTGATGGATCCCTTAGCCTAGCTCCCACACCTAACTCTTCCAAGCCATTCCATGAAGGATATGTACAGCCTTTTTATTTTATGCAAGACATCGTGCTGATCTGGTCCTCTGGTTGGTGAACACTATTTTTTTTTTCGTCAACCATTCTACGGCAAGGCACGCTAGGGCAGTCTATTGAGGTTATTGAGTTCACATCAACTTACAAAAGTATAAGCGGTAAGTCCTGGAACTTAACGCTATCTTTTATCTTTTGATGCTCATGCCTCATGCCCGGACCTCAAGGCCCATACTATTATACTATTGTGATAGCCCTGGAACTAGGTAAACTACCTACCTAGCTGCCAAGGTAGGTAGGTACCTGTAGCAATGATGAATTTTTGGCGCGAATAAAATCGCAAGAGTGGTGAAATTGAAATTTGGCCGTTCCCCCCCTGCAAAACCCAGACAAACTAGATTTCTTATCCCTGTTCATAATATATGCCGAATCGCGTTGTTCCTGCCTCTTTTCCCAGGAACAATAAGACCTCAAGTGACCAAAATAGGTTTGGAACAATTTAAGGAGACCCGCTGTTCCTAATTTCTACCAACCAGAATCAATTCCTGCCTTCCTCGTCTGCTCACTTTTTCGATACCTAAACAGCTAAAGTAGATTACTTACCAAGTCTACTACGCCATTACCTACACAAGGTAGCTTCGTCTCTCTCGTTTGTAGAAGGCGCCAGGGGATCCCCAAGTTCGGCCAAGTTTGGCCTATGAATATCGAATCACCCTAATAACTTGGCCCCGGACCTCATTTCTACCCTCTTCTACCTAAAAATTAACACATCAACTCACTTTCTTGGAAAACGAAGAAGTCATCACGATTAGGTTCAAAGTACCATAATTGGGAGAGGAAGGGAGTTTGCGGGGGAATACTACTACTACTAATAATAATAATCAAGCTACGGTACATCATAACCAATATTCAACCTTGGTTTCATTTCCAGCCCCCAGACCGATCCGAGTCTGAGAGCAAACGCGGGTAAGGCCTGCGCTTCTCACCTATCTGCTATCTGGCACAAGGCAAGATCCACAGCAATCTCTTGCCACAACAACTCTAATTCAGAATACGGCCCCGGCTCAGCTTATCACGGACCTGCGCACGTTCGGATATCTTTCTATCGACAGGCTAAGAAAGTAGAGTATTATTCATCACAAATCCCGTACTCCCACGAACCATTTCTACCTCGTTCAACCATTGATCTTTGCGCGGTTCCCTCGCGCCGCCGCAACGCAAAATGGGGTCGACGAATTTCGGTAATTTCGACGTATGTCTTCCTCAACTTCATCATGGACGATATTCTGCCACTATGCTCACAAGGCGATGCTAACTTTGCTACTTAGGCGTTCTGCCGCGATTCGACTTTACCTGTCTGCAACGTATGTCCACCTAGTAACACGACTATGCAATGTCCCGCCGAAAACCCGATAGGTATCGCTAACATACGAATCAGGTTCTCTCGGAGAGTCATACTCAACGAGGCGGATGGGGTGGTTGCGAACTACGAGGCATCCCTCTTTCTGGCGATGACCGTTACTTGGGAAATCTAGGTTCGTCTGGTTGCTACAAACTAAGATGAATTCCCGCTAATAAAGAGCAGGGTCGATATTACTTTGCGGCATCGCCATTGTCGTGTCAATATGGCTATTGTTACGCTCGGAAAGAAAGAAGGCTGCAGTTGGCCGGAGGTCCGTGTTGGTTCCTTTCACTTCCCAGGCCGTTTGACTGACTCGGCTGCAGGGAGATGCAATTGTTCCTAATCGGTTTCATCATAATCGAGATATGTGAAATATTCACTGTCGGGGAGTTTCCTCTCAATGCGACAGTAAGGATTGTACGCGATATCAATCAAATTAACCCTACGGACTGGCCAAACTAACCTAATTACGCAGGCCTTCACTGGAATCCATATCGGAATGATTATTGCGACGACATGGATTCTACTACTCAATGCTATTGTAGGATATCAAATCCTTGATGATGGCACGCCACTTTCCATAGGACTCATGCTCCTCTCTGGTGCTGTCCTTTTTGTCGGTACCGGTTATATCACTCTCGATACGGGATATCACTGGACAAGCAAATTTATTACCAGGGCCGACGATCATTATCGAAATATCGCGCTTTACGTGCTTTACCAGCTTGCGCCGCTCGTTTTTCTTGTTGCCTTCTACGTTTTGGAAGCTATCCTCGTCCTCAGAATCCTGGGTGAGATCCGACCCATGCTTTACCTCACAGGCGCTGCCGTTTTGTTTGCCATAGGCCAGATCTTCAACTACGTTATCAGCCCGTACATCTGTAACGGTACCAGTGGCAAGATTGACGGGGCGTTATTTCAGACGCTCTTCACGTTACTCGCGGTCGTGATGGTATGGGCATTCTGGTCGAGCATTACCGAAGACGACTGGCCGATTGCCAGCCAGCCTACAGGCTATCCTTAATTCTTGTCCCTCATTTCATTTTTATTGCGGCGTTGGCGTTCCGGTTCACCAATATACCCTATTCTCGTTCTCTTCTTTTCATTCCTTGGTTGTCTCCCATTGGCAAAGATGCCATTTTCGAAGGAACAGCAGCAACAAGAAAAAAAATACCATGACAAATTTAATACACGTAGAAATACTCTTTTATCTTATGCAAAGGGCCGGCCGAAAAAAAGCACGGTTGCATGCGCGATGCGAAGTGAAGGGGAGCAAGCTTGGAGGAGAGGGGTTGCATATTTGCCATTCAATAGTTGGAGAGAAGCTTAAAGGTCTGGTTGAGAGAGTGGTTGATAGTATGGTTGATAGTATACCCCGGATATGTTGCGACTGATGTATATGAGGTCGTGTTGGTACAGTTGAATAGTTTCAAGCCTGATGAGCCATGTTAGCTCTTTTGTCCTTCAAGGTACCTACTATTTTTCATGCGGCATGACGTGAATGAGCTGGTATTATTCTACATTCTAATGTAATAAGCACAAAATTTTATGTACCTAGGTAAGTACGATGTTATGTACACCTCTTATCTAGAGCTTTTTTAATTAGCTTAGATTTAAAGAGCTAAATACAAGGCTGTATATTTTTTTGGCAGTACTAGGTATGTAGCATTTCAACAAGGAAGCTCTGCAGCCTTGCCTTCTGAACCTTTGCATACCCAATTATTCCTTGTTATTTTATCCACACATTCCATATCCAAAAGTTGATTAACGTCGTTTAGAATCTACCCCCCTTCTCCTTGATAACGCTACGCTAGAGATTATCATACACTGTTTGCGAGTTTGGGGTTATGGTGTCTTTTAACCCTCCTCTCAACAATGCTCTCTTAAGGTTAAGGTGCTGTAGGAAACTTCCCGCTGCGCATCTGCCTTAGGCACCTCATTTAGAGCTTAGGTCTCTCTTCCTCCCTTTTTCTCTTCTTTCTTTCCCAACTTCATAATACAAGTTGCTCCCGACGAATATTACGGATCTGCTACTCAGCCACTGCCAACCTCTTCGAAACTCGAATCACACAAGCACGAACTTAATTAAACCCGAAGCGTGATTAGACCATGGCCGATTCTGATGGAGAATACCAAGCTGATGACGCCTCCGATGACGAGTTCGGGAACCACCAGGTAACATCTGGCACGCGAAACGATGCACGATCGCGGAATCGCACTGAAAAGGGCAAGAAGAGTGTCCGAAAAAATGCTAAAGCCGCCTGGGAAGATATTCAACGATCATGGGATACTGTCGTCGAAGATGCCGACGGCACGCTCGCAGGAGCTATCGAGGGCCGCGCCGAAGCGGAGAAACGTGCGCGGTTACTAAAGGACACGACGCCTTTGCAACGTGGTATAATACGACATCTTGTTTTAGTTATCGACATGTCCTTCGCCATGCTCGAGAAGGACTTGCTACCCAGCAGATACGAGTTGACCATGGCCTACGCCTCCCAATTCGTTAGAGAATACTTCGAGCAGAATCCCATCTCCCAGTTAGCGATTATAGGCATGCGAGACGGCGTCGCGGTCAGGATAAGCGATATGAGCGGGAACCCAGCAGACCACTTGGAGAAGTTGCAGGGTTGGGTCAAGCAAGACCCTCAGGGAAACCCAAGTCTACAGAATGCCTTGGAGATGTGCAGGGGTGCACTATAGTGGGTTTCTACAGCTTAACCGGAAAGGATGAAGGAAGTGGAATGACTGACGATTTTTTCTGGGTATAGCCACACACCGTCGCATGGAACGAGAGAGGTCGTGATAGTCTACGGCGCATTAATGTCCAGCGATCCGGGAGACATACATGAGACGATCAATGTTTTAGTCACCGACAAAATACGCGTATCTATCGTCGGCCTCGCCGCGCAAGTAGCTATCTGCGACGAGCTCTGTTCGAGGACAAATGGAGGAGATAACTCCAGCTATAGTATAGCTTTACACGAGGAGCATTTTAGAGAGTTGTTAATAGCCATCACGACGCCCCCTGTCACGCGGACCCAGGAGCAGAGTAATGCAAGCTTACTCATGATGGGTTTCCCCTCGAGGACTCTAGCGGCCGGTGGTAGTATCCATTACTGCGCGTGCCACAACCGACCAACACGCGAAGGTTACGGCTGTACGCGCTGCGGATCTCGCGTCTGCAGATTACCAGCAGAATGCCCTGGTTGTGGACTGACGCTCATCTTATCCACACATTTAGCTCGGTCATATCACCACTTATTCCCACTGCGCAACTGGGTCGAGGTGCCGTGGTCAGAAGCTAAGCGATCCAAAGCCTGCTACGCGTGTCTGACGCCGTTTCCCGAACCGCCCGACCCCAAAAAGGGCAAAGGAAAGATTACGATCAAGGGCAAGGAGAAGACCGGCACCGCCCCGATACTCCCGCCCCTCAAAGGTCTTAGCGAGTCTAGTAGGTACGCGTGTGAGGTCTGCCGAAACCACTTCTGCATCGACTGCGACCTCTTCGCCCACGAAGTCCTGCATAACTGTCCCGGGTGTCAGAGCGATACCAGGGACATTAAAAACGGTGACGCAGCTGCTACCGCCGGCACCAGTAGCAGTAATGGCGCGAATGGAGAAGCGCTGGGGAATAATAGCGCGATGGAGATAGATTCTTAGATCCTTGGATGACTCTGAAGAAGAAAAAGAAGAAGTTGGCGTAATGCGAAATAGACGATAAGTATATCAAATCAGGCCTTCCACGGGATTGTTGGCGTAGAAGTTTTGTTGTTGTTTTGCTTAGAGGTTGGGGGAGAGGTTCCTTTTCGATGATTCGATGACTCGATTGAATGCCCGTCCTTTTATTTTTCTTCGGATACGATATAAACACGACAGAAAAATAACCAACCGAACCGAACTTGGTATTACTACTACTACTTCTACTACTATTGCATGGGGGGGAGGTGGGCGTTTAGGGGGACCCGTATTATAGCAAGCAACAGCAACAGCAACAGCAACAACTGTTGCTGCTGCTACTACTACTTACCTTAGTTATACTAACTACTACTGGATAAGTAGGTTAGGGGATTTACGCCGGACTTGCTCGGGGATGAGGAGGTTAATTCGTATAGAATAGGGCGCTATATGCGCTACCGATATCTAGTTCGGGATGGGAAGCAAAAGTATAGAGATGGTATCCGAATGAACGGCAGAAACCCAGGCAGGTAGCTAGAGGTAACTAGCTACAACTTTAGGTAGTTATCCTATTTACAAAGAGGTTTTGTACCGGGTTACCTACCACCTACCTCCTAATACATATCCTAACATTAGGTACCTCTGTAAAGCGTGATCCTCCCCTGACGATCTCACACCTCAAATGGAGGTATATTAACGATACGGTGTATAGAATTTATAAATCAATGGATTGATCCGTATTTGCTGCGTTATCGTGCCATGGTCTCGTTAATTTAGGTACCTGACCCATGTAGGTATCTATCCTAGGTTATTAAGTATATCGTACATTTATATGTCCCCTTCCACCATATCAAGACAGAGGAGGGTTATTCCCATCACCCACCCGCCATCTTTCCAATTCCTCAAACTGACTAACTAACTAACAAACTACATACCTAGAGATAAGTAGGTAGAGGTAGGTATGTACCCTACAAGTTCCCCCTCTGAGCTTGCTCCCGCTCGATAGCCTCGAACAAGCTCTTGAAGTTCCCGGCGCCGAAGCCGTCGAAATCGCGGCGCTGGATGATCTCGACGAAGACGGTGGGGCGGTCCATGAGCGGCTTGGTGAAGAGCTGCAGGAGGTATCCGCCCTCGTCGTAGTCGATGAGGATGTTGAGCCGCTGCAGGGTCTCGAACTCCTCCTGGAGCTCCCAGGTCCTCTTCTCTGTGCGTAGGCGCTCCCGCATCGTCTCGTAGTACGTGTCCGGGACGGCGATAAACTCGACGCCGCGGGCGCGCATGGCCGACACCGCGGACACGATGTCTGGCGTCAGCAGCGCGATGTGCTGGACCCCGGGGCCCGAGTTGAACACGACGAACTCCTCGATCTGCGATTTCTTTTTCCCCAGCGCCGGCTCGTTGATGGGCATCTTGACGACATCGTTGGCGCTGCTCATCACGATACTGCGCAGCGCGCTGAACTCCGTGCATATCTGGCTGTCATCCACCGACCAGAATCGGTGGAACGACAGGCACCGCTCATAGAAGTCGCAGGCCGCCACCATCTCGTCCCACGACTGGTTGCCGACGCAGTGGTCGATGCAGGCTAGGTCGACGCGCGGTAGGGATGTGGTAGACGGCGGCGAGGAGCGCGCTTGGAAACCCGGGAGGAAGGGCCCCGTGTAGTTCCGCCGCGAGATCAAGGTATGTGTCGTGTCGCCGTAAGTCCGAATCACGGCTGTTAGCACGTCGCCGTGCTGCTTGTCGCGCTGGAGCGTAGGGGGTTGGACGGAGACGGCGCCTTGGGATATGGCGTGGTTGTATACGCCCTCCACGCTATCAACTTCGAAGGCAACGTCACGTACGGCGTCGCCATGTCTCTCGAGGTGGTCGTGCATCTCCTTAAGTTGTTTCCGCTCGTCTTCGGTGATGGGTTCATCTTTAGGCAGGTAGGCGTACGAGCGGATCGGCGACGTGAACACAAAGCGGATATCACCGCAGGCCACGACGTGTGATGTGAAATATCGGCTGCCAGTTTCTAAGCCGCGGTACGCAACCGTCTCAAAACCAAAGAGCGTAGTGTAGTACGAGGCGGCCTGCTTCGCGTTACCTACCCACCAGGTGACATGATCGTAGCCCTGGAAGTTGGGTACGCCGGCCTGTACGGCATACCCATCTGCGTACGAGGAGTACCTAGGGGGAGATGTAGAGATCGCGGAGGGTGCCATATTTGTCGGTTTGACTTAATGTATAGAGTTGGTTGAATTATACTCCCCAGATATTGCTTAAGGAGGTAATAGTAGTAGATATGTGTAGGGAAGAGAGGATAGAGATGGACTATGAAGGTGCTGAGGTATATAATGTGATACTGAATACAACATTTGGACAGAGGAAACCTTAAGGGGTAGAAATACGCATGTAAGATACCTTCAATATCACCTTACCTAATACAAGTCGTCTATCCTACCCGATCTATTGCCTTGACAGTATAACGGTTAAAGCGGGATAGGCCAGGAATTCTGGGTCGGGACGAATTCCGCACCTCTTTCCCTTTCCCGTGCTTCCTGTTCTTGCGTGGCAAGGAACGTCTCGGGCGAACATGACTGGGAAAGGGTTGTTGGACGGACATTTCAGAAAGCTAGCTGACCGACCCGTTCGACGTGATAGGGTCGTTGGAGCCTCTCAACCTAAATTTGGCGGCTGCGGAAAACACCGACGTCAGACTGCCGAAGCTAGCCGACCCCCGTAGCCCACCCTCCCCGGGGCCCAGACCACATGCACATATCCCGACGCCACCCATTATCTAGACGCACGCCACCCATTGTCTAGACGCCCAATAACACTAAATGGGTTGGTGCGGTTAGAAGGGGAAGAAAGGTTATCCCTAGAGGTGGGGAAACGAGGATGCCTGCATGCATAATAACGGAATACAGAGGCAAAGCTCTCAAGTGGTGCTGCTGACCTATCATTAATCAAATAGGCCGTCCTGCAGGGCATATTTGTCGCATTTTCCATTCCATTTATTCAAGACCATTCCGGTTGATATTTATCGATTTACTGTATGACCGACCATATCATAGCCATAGCCACCATATTCCTGCGACGTAATCCGTTCCGAAGTACTTTAATACCCATTCGTCGTCATAATAATCTAGCTCGGCTTAGAAACAACCTGGTATGGCGGCAAGCTCCCTTAGTCGACGAGACTTCAATGTTCTCGAGAAAATCAGAGATCCGGAGTCGAATCCAACGACAGCTGTCCTCATAGACCCAACTTTACCCAAGGATCCGAATATAACGGACACGTCTGTATATGACCGTGTATCCCAGAGAGAGCGCGATATCGTATTGGCTATGCAACAGTTAGAGATGCAACTAGCCGGCTTGCAGCCGGCGTTAAAAACGGAGCCGATACAGGAATATCGAAAATGCCTGTCCAAGCTCGGAGAACTTATAACGGAATACCCCAAATACGCTAGCGCCCGAAATAATCGAGCACAGGTTTTTAGGAGGTTGTACGGAGATACACTGCTCCTATCTGATAAACAGGATTCGAGAGGGTTGTTGGGTGATGTCGATGAGCTTGAGAGATCTCATGCGGCGGACCTAGCCCTTTCTGATCTGGACCAAGCCATTGCCTTGCTAACACCTAAGAGTCTCTTCGTAGCGGTCTCGCCACAGGCTGGGAAGACGTTGTCACTTGCGCATACCCAACGGGCAGCAATTTACCACATGACCTTCAAATCCCTTCAAACTGGAAGCCAAGTTCGGATAGCCGGGCGAAAAGAAGAGGCGTGGACAAAGAACGACTTCGAAGAGGCGGCATCGAGAGATTTTGCTTTGGGAGGAAGATACGGGAACGACATTGCGAAAGGCTTGGCTGTGAGTACTAATCCTACCGCCAAGCTTTGCGGCCAGATGGTTAGAGAGGCTATGAAGAAGGAATATGGTCCCGCGTATGCTTCGTGATGGGTCCGTTTAGCCACATTATAACAGCCCGTCCGTAACTCTATTAGAGTACCTCGGAAACTACCTAACATAGGTAGCCATCGAAAGAGCTGGTACGACTGGAACCATTAATAATTCGATTCGCTGGCGAACTTCTGGCTGTTCGCCGTATCCTGAAGCACCAACTTCCTATCTCTCGTTTCTTGTTACCGCATGTACCTAAGTCAATGGACTCATCGAGACTGAGTATGCTGCACAGGAAAACGCCCATGGCAGACTCGATTCTGACTGGTTAGGGTATAATTGGGTAGTGATTAAAAAGCCCTTGGGGCTTAAACTTAGAAAGTACCTGATATAGGTAGAACAACCCATCACTTGAATAGTGATGAACAAACATACACAGACGTTGAATGAGACGAATAGAACACCCAATTATTATCCGAAGTGCAAGTCCCGACCTATAAGGTGTGAGAGACGTGATAACCGGCTGATTGTGATGTAGATATTATTGTTTCAACTGGCTGAATAGATTACTGACTCGTCTAAATAGAAATTAGTTGTATGCTAGAAGAAGATGTTTGATTTCCTATGTATTATATGAGATATGAAATATGAGATATGAGATATATACCTCTTCCCAGCTTCGATCGTCTGCTGTGTCGTTCTACCCTTTTCTTTTCCTTCACGGTTAATTCTTGTAGCTGCTGCCCCGAGTCCTATCGCAAGTGCAAAGATAGGGTCTCCTACGCGGGAGATGATGTACGTTGGAGGGGCCATTTTGAATTATATGAAATTGTATAGTATTTTTAATGAGAAGTCGTTTTTATAGCAATATGGTTGTGTCTGCTTATGAATAAGAGGTAAGTGAGATAGGAGGTTATCTAAACTTTTGGTGTTTTATTTTTAAAGATGAATCTTTGAGCTTTCCTTTCTCCTTCCCCACTTTAACTTTTTTTTTGTCAAACATCAGGTACATAGTAGGTACAGCTCCGTGTTATGCACTCAAAAGCTCGGACCACATAATGCAGCCCAAAAGGTCTCCCCACCGCACACAATCAGGCCAATCAACTAATGAACCCTTCCTTCGCTTAATTTTCTCAGGCACATTTTGGATTTTCTTAGCCCATCGCAAACCACCTTTACTATCGAATTCCTTCTCAATCGACCAGTTCGCCAACCCACCGACAACACCTCGACTTCCCTTTCGACAAACGACGACAGCGGAGCCGACAAGATGAAGTTCCTTAAGGTTGGCCGAGTAGCCATCATCACCCGTGGCCGATACGCCGGTAAGAAGGTACGTAACTAAAGAGGATGAAGAAATGTCATTTTTGTTTGTTTGTTTTGAAGAATTTTTAAGAATTGCTGGATTTTGGGGGAAAGGATGGATCGGATTTGGCACGACTACGACAATCGACGAGTCCACGTCGGAATTATTATTGCACAACCACTTCAGCAATTCGCCATGATTGATTTTACACCATATCGAGCTATATAATATATATATATATATATTATACACATACGCTATTAGAACTAGCAGAAAGGAATTGGGGAACATTATTCTAACGAAAATCCGCTCTTCCAGGTCGTCATCATCCAGCCCGTCGACAGCGGCAACAAGGCACACCCCTACGGCCACGCCCTGGTCGCGGGCATCGAGCGCTACCCCTCCAAGATCACCCGACGCATGTCCAAGACGCGACAGGACAAGCGAAACAAGATCAAGCCTTTCATCAAGGCTATCAACTACAACCACCTGATGCCCACACGATACACTCTTGAGCTCGAGGGCCTCAAGGGCGTCATCTCCGGCGAGACCTTCAAGGAGGTCAGCCAGCGCGAGGATGCCAAGAAGAACGTCAAGAAGGTCCTCGAGGAGCGGTACACGAGCGGCAAGAACAGATGGTTCTTCACTCCTCTGAGTACGTATTCCCCCTTTTACTTCTCCACACGGGATCTCCATACATCTACTACCTATATCTCTCTCTCCCTTTAAGAGTAGAGTTATGAAGAGAGTGATACATAGAGATTTACTTTGCTTTATTTTTAATTTTTAATTTTATATATATAAAAAAGAGGGAAGAAAAACTTATACTAACGCTCAATCAGAATTCTAATCCTTTCGTCTGCATTACTTCCGTCGTTCGGTCTTAAGGGGGGTTCGGTCTGGGATGTAAATCGCATCATCAATGGCATTAGGAAACCACCTCAAAGGGGTCACATGCTCTGAATTCATAAATATGAAAAATGAACACGTCTGAATGAATGAACCAAAAAAACAAAAAACCCTGCTGCCTTCCCTTTCCCTACGTCTCGGCCGTACTCGAGTAACTTTTGTGTGCTACCCCTCGCGTTTGCCTCCTTTGCAAATAACCGAGAGTGATCTTCAAAACCCATCTCAACTTGAGACTGACCGAAGCTTCGGTTGATCGTACTACTTCCGGGTTTCTGGGATCAGCGCTCCAAGTTGTAATCAATCGGTTAAAATGGGTTTCCTGGATTGCCCGTCTAGTCGCTTAAGTATTTTCGGAATTTGTCGCTTACAGAGGACCAAAACCGTTTCATACAGTAATACAGAAATAACTATTGCCATATCCCTAAGTAGAATCCGTAAACCCCATCCCATACCAAGGCATATTTTTACGTACAATACAGCTTAAGACTTCCATATTGTAAGGGAGTTTTTGTAGTACAACACGACATTAAGCCGGGTTTTCAGAGTAGGTATACCTACCTACCTAGATAGCCTAAATTAGGTATGTATAGGTACCTATATACATCACATTTAACCCCTTGTAGAATGCGCAAATGATGATGAATTAACGTGCGAATTTTAAGTATCGTTTTCATTCAGGTCTAATACCTCCTAGGCTCTCTAAGTTACATGAAGACCAGCCCTGTCTGTCGTGATGTGAGCAGATGCAAACCCGACCCTTGCAATTGCCCGGTGACGCCATTGTCTGCTATCTATAGCCGTACAAAAAACACCGTGGTTTAACTACCCTTTCATCAGTGTCCACGGCAAAAAAGAAAAAGGAAAAATCTCTCCAACTACTACCATCCCCCTCCTCGAAGATGAATCGGAAAATATGTGTAATTATGTACCCGAAGAAAAATCAGGGGAAACGCATACCAGGTCATCACGTAGCGTTCACCCGTCACACCCAAGTTATCATAGAACCCGAGCTATAACCCCCATCCACCTAGAAGATTACAAAGGCATACGGTGAAAGGAGAGGTTTCGTTGACACATATTCACTCATGAGGAAACGCCTAGCTTCTCAGCAGCACCAGAAAGATACTGCGAGGGGTCGTAGGCGTAGTTAGGGGCCAAACCTCCGAAGAGGATGAACACAAATAGTAGCGCTGCCGCAATGACGACAACTTTGCGTAGAGCAGGGCGGGTAGCACCGAACTCAGCCCACTGTCGGCCAGCTTCACCAGCATATCCCTTGATAGCCTCAAGACCAAGCTTGTAGTAGACCATGCCACCGAGAGCAATGGTGTAACCAAAGGCCTGGAGACCGGAAACAGGAGTACCCCAGATGATCATAGAGGCTACGACCAGCATGACATCCTTGAGGACACCGCAAAGGGTCATGATAACCGCAGAGGTCTTGCCAATCTATAGAACTTATTAATCCATGGAATATATTTTTTCTTGGCTGGATATTTTAAACTTACCAAGAAGACAACTGAGACGTTAAGTAGGAAGGCACAGAGACCGTTCAAGAAGAAGGTGAAGAGACCAACGTGGTAAACTTCAGCTAGAGAGACTTTGGGGACCTCCCAGATAAGCGCAACAACACCGTTCATGACAGCGCAGATGGGGGCGAAGTAGTATAGAGAGACGAGAGGATCCATCTTGTACTCGGCAGAGCTCAGCAGGGCCTGAACGAGGTTGAGACGGATAGCTTCGAACAAGAGACCTCCCAACTGGTAGAAGAAACCAATCCAGACGAATCGGATCTCACCGAACGAGGCAATCATGACACCAACAACAATGGCGGACACGTTGAGGAGTTGCCTCAAGTTGGGGGGTGCAAGACCCATGGCCCAGCTGGAAAGCAGGACAGCGACGGGAGTAGTGGCCTATTGTAATACCTCGTTAGCGAATGTGTACCTCCGTAATCGAATCTTCGTAGTATTCGTACCTTGATCATCTGGATGAAAGCGACACTGAGGTACAGGTAGGTCAAGTTACCGCATATCAAACTTAAGCTGAAGAAGACACCGATAGGAACGATAGCACGAAGGTAGACGCGTCCAGTCATCTTAACAGACTTGCGACCATCGAGGAGGCTAGTGTAGCGCGCCATTAGTTGTGTCGCGATGGTTGCAAAGGTCAAGTGGTAGGTGGTTAAGATGACGGGATAACCTAAAACGCCTGTTAGATCCTATTTACTGAGCTAAATCGATATAATTTCAAGGTTCTTACGGAATTCGAGCGTGTCGAGAATCCATTTGTTGAACAGAATGACAGATGACGAGAGACTGATCCATACTCTGCAGCGACTTGTTAGCTACGCGTCTTGCTTTATCAAAGGGATCGTGACTGTGTATTCATTCGGGACTCGACATACGCAACGTAGAAAGCCGGGTGGATAGCCGCCTTGGGAGGTTGAGGCTTGTCGGCCTCGGGGTTCGTGGTGGGCAGGATGGGGCCCTTTGGTTCCGGTCGGGGAACCTCACCTGAGGTACGACTCTTGTCGTCCGCCATTTTTATTGATTATTCACGTCTTAGGTGAAGGTTGAAGATGTGTCGCGAGAGCGATGTAACTAGATTAAAAAAAAGGGGACAGAATGAATTGAAGAGGACACGGATAATGAATGAGCGACAAGGCCAAGCCTGCTGAGACCAATTAAAGATTTAGATGAATTTGGAGGGTGGCGTTACTGTTTGCAAGTCTTGCAGTAAGTATCGCCGAGTGTCAACTATTATTTCCTCTCTTCCTTTAAACTTCAAAAAATATGAAGTTTTTTTTTGGTGTGTGAGGAGGAAAGAGATTCACCAACGACTGGAAGGGGAAGCAGTGGTGACGAAGGAAAAAGAGAGGATGGATAAAAAGAGAGAGGATTGCAAAAAAAGAGATGGTACGGCTAATAAATTTTTAGAATGGACGGTACTGTACAGTGGACAGTGGACAGGCTTATCCAGGCTTACTCAATTAGGGACACTAGGTAAGCTGGTACCTAAGTCACCCTTTTCAGTGGTACCTGTTTACATGTATCCCGCACAATTTTAGCCGTCCCAATTGAATTAGAGCTTTTAAACACGGTCCCATCATCCAGTGCGTGCCTTTTGCTTAGGTACAGGCATATCTTTTTTTTTCCTGCTCTCGGGCTGTGCCTTTAGTGCATGAGAGGTACTTGTTAGTGGACAGTTGTGTACGACCTATGCATGTCGAGGTACCGGTGAAGGGAGGACGGTGTATAGGTACAATCACAATCTAATCCACCCCCACTAAAGCTCATTCCCTGGAATTCCCTCCGTGCCAGGGGTATCAGGGGCTAATAATTGCGTGGCGTTGCCCTAAATGAACTAGTGCGAAATGAGGAAATATCTAAAACCTGCAATCAACAGCCACTGATGTCGTTTCTAGGAAGCTCTCATTTTATCATTGGCCAGCGGTGTGGTGGCATTGAATACATGTATCCCTCCCCCACGGCAGCAGGGCAGCTACAGAACCTGGCCTTGGAACACTTTTGTGGTTCGTCCAATACAATTTTAGAAGATTGCAATGCTCTCTTTTTGAGCTGGTTACCTATTACCTACTTGTTTCAAGATAACACTCCAAAAAGAGGTCTTATAACTTTAATGATGGACTTTTTTTTTTGTGCTAGAAGTAGGACTAACAGCATTCTTCGCTTTTTTGAAGTTCGTGACTTGTAAGTCGAAATATTATTGTAGGTATTGTAAGTCCATTTTAGGCTTCCCACAGGTTCTCTCTATTCCTAGTTCGTTACACTACAAATTGTACCGCTTAATGGGATTGCTAACTCCGCTGTGACGTAGTTTCAACCGAAAAAAAAAAAGAAATCAAAAAAGCTCCGATTTCCAACGATGCTTTATGGACGGGTCAGTCAAGACTAGGCCACCAGAGGCTATCGTGAATACTAGATATGAGATTACGCGGGGTCCTTCACACCATTTACGTCCGCATGGCAGACTAAGCGTTCGGATTTTGATCTCCGTCCTCTCCATTGGCCACTTGTCGCGGGTTGTGGTCGTAAGGTTTGTTCGTATCGAACGTCATCAGAATTCTCTTCGGCCCAAAATACGAGATGCAAGCAAGGTGTGTACCTTACCTCTATATATATTATAAGGTACCTACCTAGGTAAACTTCAAAGCCGCGTATAGGTATCGGATTTGAGGCTCTCGATTCGATACATCCAACCTTCAAACGTTCCATCGCCGCGAATTACGCCGGTCCCGTCGCGTGCCCGCGTCCGCCCATATCACAGTTGTTGACACTTACGTATGTTTTAGTCAATGTCTCGCTGCTGACTGAGTGGCATAGCTGAGCGGCATCTTGCGTCCCAGGCAAACGGTTGCCCATGCAGCCATGTTGCAGATAAATAATATTAGGTAGATTAAGCACATAGATGCAACAGCCCCTATCCTCGTTGGTTCCTTGTCGCAGCTCAGGCAGGCTTTATTCAGCTAAGTAAGCGATTTTTAATGGCGTCGGCTGCTGCATGTCAGCCCTTTTTCTTCGCCTACGCTGCTGCTGCGTCCAACGTACGATGTAATGTACACTAACCGTTGGACGTTGTTCGCCACGTGCAATAAGTGCCTTGGTTTGTTAGAAGGTCTGTCCGCGGTGTATTACGCCTGCAGATACCAATATAATTATCATAATTTATTACCGTGCTTTGAAAAATGAACATTATGCGGGATAATGGTATGATGTAAGAGGGTTACCCCTGGCTTGCTTTGTCCAGGAACAGGCTCAAGCTATGCTCATGTTACGCCAAAACTACGCGTACAGCTGTTTCTGATTTAATTCAATGAACTTTCTACAATGCTCAAAGTGACAGACAATTAAGCATTTATTACCTATGTGAGGTATCTATGTTCGCGGTAATTTTTGTATATTTATAGTAGCCACCCTAACAATGCTAAGCCATTAAGCCATCAAGCCATACTATGTAAAGCAAGAGATCAGATCGGTACAGTATGGATTAGATATCTGCATCTTTGACTGCCCGACATTTCCTAGCCTCCCCACTATACTTTGACTATCGTCATCTCCTATGTATACCTAGTGTAGATATTAGTTTATTTAATTAGGGATTCACACATTGTACGTATACTCGAAAGTTATTCCCAACTCGGTTTCAGCAGAACTAAAACTAGGGTATTTCGGGTATTACTTTTTGAGCCGCCAGGCGGACGAGTGGGACAAAATATAAACTTGAGACGGCGGCTTGGGCAAGTTTGCAAATCTTGACCGTCGATCTCGCGGAGCTAACCGGTCCTGAGGCCCCAACTAGAAGTCAGGAAGTCTAAGTTGAGAGAGTTGAGAGGGATGGCCAAACTTGGCACTGCCATGAGCGGAAAAGAAGATCGACAAAGGGCTGATGTACAGGTACAAATACAGGTACATGGCTGGGGCATGGAAAATAGCCATCGAACCTGGGCATGGGCGGGACACGACCTTATCGAAATTAAACGATCTTCAAATTCCCAATTTAGGTGACGAATGCAACACGTTAATCGCCAAAGCGACAAGACAGCTAGGAAGCGGATAGGTGGTTGGAAGCCACGCATAGATGATAGAACTTAAGAAGAGCTTACTCCGATATTAGTTATTTTATTTGGTAGATAATTGCAACACCAACTTTACACCAACTTTAGATGCCGGGGGTTCTAGAGCTGGCTGGGCTTGTGGTAGATTCATTTTTCTGGGTATCTCCTCACGAAGTCGTTCCCCCACCGCTTGAGTTGCGGGAGAACCATGCAACGCACATACTGCAAGAAGAACTGTCCTGATAGCTCCAGTGTGGAGTTTGGCATACCGCACCGGGGAGAAAGCGTCGGGGGAGAAAAAAAAACACCGGGGAAGAAACGTTGGGGTTGACGACGACGATAACGGTGAAGCTGTTGGCCGGTAAAATGCGCAATAGCATCTCCTACCGGGCTTGTCTTTGCATGCAACACGTGGTATCACCAAGACGCCATAGAGAAAGGCGATAGGTAATCGAGGAGACAATTGAGGAAAGATAATGAAACCCCACGACGGTAAGCACATGCTATCTATTTCAGGTCGTCGAGGCTAAAATGTCGTGCGCGATACATTTGGAGGCTCGATGGTTGACGCGTACAGGGGGTGGGTATGAGCTTCATCTTACTATAAGATTGCGGGCAGGGGTTTCCCGGCGGTCGTTGATCAACCCTCACTTTTACTATTAATGCTCTCTTTACTTGCAGCCACACAACCCCGAATTCGCTCATATCCTGCCATCCTGCCATCCTACCTGGCTTTATCAGCCTTGCTATCTCTTCTTCCTGGTCTCTTCACATGCGGGTATGTCCAAGTGAGTTAACATACATGTTAGATGTAAGTAGTTGATCAGCGACTAGCGATCGTCATAACATATTGCTCGCCCCTAATTGAGGAATTTATTGCCTACCTAGGTAGGTAGGCATGTAGGGAAGAGTCTCCTCTGCTCCTAAATTTTACCCCTGAGTTGCTGACTCGTGGCTCGTCAATGGTTGCCCGAGAAGAAAAAGAAGAGGCAAACTAGCGGTAACTAGGCGGTGTTCATGAGTACTAAAATTCGTGCTACTCAAGCGAATCATGATGGTATCGAGGTAGTGAGGAACTAGGCACTACCTACTTTCGACTTTGACCACTCCAGAGTTCAGAGTCCAGCAGAGTTTCGACGGGAAACCCGTTACCCTTTGGTCCCTGCATCCGCCTCAAACAATCTAATCTTGTCTTCCAGCAAATACCTAACTTTATCTTGGATCTTTTGATTTAGCCACACCGTTTTATACAAAGTCTCGATTGCTCCAATATTCGGTTGTACTCCCTTGATTGTGTTACCTTTGCGTTTGCGAGGTAATATATGTAAATAAATGTACACCTAATTCATGTTGTACTTCTGTGTATATTCTCTCTCTGCTAGGGCTAGGTTTTATTTGATATGCCTCTATTAGGTAGCAACGATGATACCTGATAAAGAACTGGAAGCTGAGGGTTATTAAAGACTGGGGATTAAGACTGGAGGTACTTTTCTCGAGGAAAAATGTCCACATATTTCAGCCACTGAACACTTGTACACTCTATACCCCATACAGATGCAGGGTTGCAGGTGCAGGTACCATCTTTACCGAATTAAGTATCAGACCCCATCCAATTGGGCGGATGAATGTTGCCAAGTTGCGGTTTACATGACGGAGAGACAGGGGTGGCTTGGTGCGTGGGGCGCACACAACCTGCTGCAGGCCTGCACCACTGCACCACCCACTGCACCACCCACTGCACCACCCACTCGCACTAGCCCTGTACCCAGCTTAGGGTGGCACTAAAGTATCATCCACAATTTTAGTTTATCTAGTACCCCTCCAAAAAATAAGGTCCAAAAATATTATAGAAAACACCAACGCTGCTCTCTCCTATTACTTGGTTTCTCTTCCATTTGAGAATCCTCCTTGTCTGCCACACCCATTCCATTCGCGTATAACTTAGAGTTATAGACGGGCTTTATCCTGTAACATTCATTGACTTGGATAGTCTCTCATCCGTTCTTTTCGCCTTGTAAAGACCCTTCTGCCTTCCCACGTCTCTTGAACCTGATCGTCTTTCCCCGCCTTGGCCTGGAAACCATATCTATCCAAATAAACCAAGGACAAGATGTGTGCAGACATGTAAGTTTCCTGGTTTCATACCAAGGGGAAAGAACTCCCAAAATCTTTATTTCTTAGGAAAGTCTAACTGACTGACATTACTTCTCTGATAGTAACGTCGACGTTCTCGTTATCGGTGCTGGCCCTACGGGTTTGGGTGCTGCGAAGCGCCTCCACCAGCTAGTATGCCCTCACCGCCTTTCAGACTGATGTGCACTTTTGGGCTAACCTCTACTAACAGAACGGTCCTTCATGGCTCATCATTGACTCCAACGAGAAGGCTGGTGGTCTTGCCTCTACAGATGTCACTCCTGAGGGCTTCGTAAGTTTATACCATTTTCCAGCTCGTCGTGCCTAGCGAGTAACTAACCTTGGGTTCTATGCTATAGCTCTACGATGTCGGTGGCCACGTCATTTTCTCTCACTACAAGTACTTCGACGACTGCATCGACGAGGCCCTCCCCAAGGAAGATGACTGGTACACTCACCAGCGTATCTCCTACGTCCGCTACAAGGGCCTCTGGGTTCCTTATCCCTTCCAGAACAACATCTCCATGCTGCCTAAGGAGGACCAGGTCGAAGCTCTCGATGGCTTGATCGATGCTTCCCTCGAAGTTCGCGTCGCAAACACCAAGCCTAAGGACTTTGACGAGTGGATCATGCGCATGACCGGTGCTGGCATTGCCAACATGTTCATGAGGCCCTACAACTACAAGGTTTGGGCTGTTCCCACTACTAAGGTAAGCTATACTCTCGTACAAACCGGGTCTTTGTACCTTTTCTAACCCCCAACGCAGATGCAATGCCAATGGCTGGGCGAGCGTGTCGCTGCCCCTGACGTCAAGAACGTGGTGAAGAACGTTGTTCTCAACAAGGTTGCCGGTAACTGGGGCCCCAACGCCACTTTCCGCTTCCCCGCCCGTGACGGTACTGGTGGTATCTGGATTGCTGTTGCAAACACCCTCCCCGATGAGAAGAAGCGCTTCGGTAAGAAGGGCGAGGTCACCAAAGTTGACGCTACCAAGAAGGTCGTCACCCTCAAGGATGGCACCACCATTGGCTACGACAAGCTTATCTCCACCATGAACGTCGACCAACTGGTTGAGTCCATGGGCAACCAGGAGCTGGTTACCCTGAGCAAGGGTCTGTTCTACTCTTCCACCCACGTTATTGGTGTTGGTCTCCGAGGTGCCCGACCCGAGCGTATTGGTGACAAGTGCTGGGTAAGCCATTCATTCTATCTTGCTTTTGACACGTAGCGAACTATAACTAACTATTGTAGCTATACTTCCCCGAGGACAACTGCCCCTTCTACCGCGCCACTATCTTCTCCAACTACTCCCCCTACAACCAGCCCCAGGCTGATGTCAAGCTTCCCACTATCCAAATTGCCGACGGCAGCAAGCCCGTGAGCACTGACCCCAAGGAGGGACCCTACTGGTCTATCATGCTTGAGGTTTCGCAATCATCGATGAAGCCGGTCGACGAGGCCAACCTGCTCAAGGACTGCATCCAGGGACTGATCAACACTGAGATGATCAAGCCCGACGATGAGATTGTCTCCACCTACCACCGCAAGTTCGACCACGGTTACCCCACACCTACTCTTGAGCGTGAGGGTGTTCTGAAGCAACTCCTCCCTAAGCTTCAAGACCTCGACATCTACTCGCGTGGCCGCTTCGGCAGCTGGCGATACGAGGTTGGCAACCAGGACCACTCATTTATGTTGGGTGTTGAGGCTGCCGACCACATTGTCAACGGTGCGGTTGAGCTTACTCTCAATTACCCTGACTTCGTCAACAGCCGCCAAAACACCGAGCGCCGCCTTGACCAAGGCCCTCTTTCTACTAAGAAGAACGGTACCTCTCTACCTTCTCACTCGAAGTAAGAAGTTATCTACATGGGTAGTTAGGATGGCCCGGAGACGCGTACTCTCTTGACTTCTATAGTTATAGATATTAGAAGAACTAAAAAGGAGTTTTTCGTTGAGAACTACATAGGGCATGTAGTTGTTTCATGTTTTGATGAGGACGATGGGTGGCGGGATGCTGTAACGATTCTGACTTGATCTTGCAGTAACGAAACGGCATGAAAAGCCGATATTGCTAGGTTGTTCATCCAAAAGGACTTATTAATGAATAAAAATAAATTTATGAGCTTACCACTTATTCATCGACGCAGAGGTTTAATCTGTCATGTGATAATGAGCTGATAGGTTCGAAACAATAAATACTACCTATACCTAAGGTACCTCTAATATGATAGGAGATGAAACGCCTATGCCATCATCAACCTAGGTGGGTATGACACGGATGGGAATTTGTAACGCCCTCTACCTTAAGTACCTAACTCAAATGCAGGGATTTCTTGGGTTACAATAGGTATTGTACAATGCATCCATAGAGTATCTGAAGCCGTACAGGTTCAGATGTTCTGGCCGGTTAATATATGCTTGTTATCCTAAGGTTAAATCATGGCATACTGCTAAACGTGAGAATATACCGACCGTCTCTTTATTGTTATATTGTTATATAATATTGCTACTAAGCGTTCCATTTTAGAATGTTGTCAAAAAGAGAAGTTGTAAATTACCTAAACTAGGTAGCTAAATTATACTACCTAGTTAGTTGAGACTACCTAACCTAGTAGTGGGGGTTAGAGAGTACGTAGGTACATACCTGCAATGTAGTGTGGTAATGCCGCTCTGCTACCTAACCCTGCCACTTGTATCAACCCTAGTGCTGGGTAGAAATACATGGATAATTTGGATTCGCCGCCAAGGCTTTTCGTCCTTCCTTCTTTGCTGCACAACTTCGTCATGCCTACAGCGCGGGCATTCCTCTTCTCCAATAAAACCATATGCCTATCAGCCACCGATGTGTGTGCGTGTGTTGTGTGTTTTTTTTTTGTTTTGTCTTAGGAAGTGGCTAAGATCTTTAGTCGTTGAAATTACAGGTGTTCCATTAACTAAACGACTATGTGAAGTCCGAAAATTCCATAGTAGTGTGGTAAAAGAGGGGTTGGCATGTAACTCTGGCACCTAGTTTTTTTTTGCTAGGGCAACATGTACCTAATGGGAATGCGCGGGCACAAGAAAAGAAAAGAAAAGAAACGTAAATGGAAATAGAAATGGAGATGTTAAAGGAAAGGATAGGGAAACCAGTTAGGTACTGTGGTAATAGGGCATACGTACCTAGGTACCTACCTAGGTAGGTAGGTAAGTTAGGTATATAAATGTTAGTAATCTTGTCGGGTGCATGTAATAGGGCATGTAAATGCATGTAATATGTATTAAGTCTTCTCCTTCTTCTTGCATCTACTTTTTCTTTTTACTAAACGGGTCTTTCTTGTACAACCGTGTGGCCAATTTTATACCTGGTAATAGGAATTTTAGATTTTCATCAATGTTCAATGTACAATAAACAATAGAAGAAACAAACTGGACTGGATACCCCGAATGTTAGCGGTTCTTTGGACTTAAGCGACAAGCACCACATTACATTCTTCTATGCAAACCTGGTGGATGAGGACCCTGACACTAGTGCACCTGATCTTCTGGACAAATTACTGATAAAAGGCTCCGGGCGGAGATCAACGCCTTCTGCAAATCCCTAATAAGCAAAGGCTAACGCGAGACGAGGCGAGGCAAGACAAGACAAGGCAAAGCATCTCAAAGCATCTCAGTGACACTCGATTTTCAAAAGTGATCCGGGCAAAAGCCATGTGTGTCGCGACGGCGGCAACTTGGTCACTCTCTACCTAATAAATCACGCCGTGGCCAGCCTACCTCTCTGTATGTCGAGATATCATCGTCATGGACGGGTCCTTGGTCATGCCGGAAGACCAACAACTCGATCCCCCAGCCAGGATCTTCGAACGGCTCCGACAGTTAGGCGGTTTTACCTGGGATGAATCGAGAAAGCCGTTTCATTCAAGCTATGACAACTGGTATCCTTTTCCCGAATGCGATTCAAAGTTCGCATCCGTAGTAGTAGCTGTCTAACACGGTCCTTCTTTACACAGGCATATATACGGCACAAGATTTATATCGCCTTATTCAACCACCACGACAACGCCCTTGCAAAACCTAGGCTCTCCGCCCTCCATCGCCAAATTAGCCTCGAGTCGCATATCGCCTGGCGACGTCCACGTCGGCTTCCTTTCCCAGAGCGAAGGCAGTAGCGAACGTTCGTCCGCCTCCCCCCCTGCTTTTACCAGCCTTGCCTCCGATCTATCGAACGTCGAGGAACAACAGATAGTTGCGCGGGTATCCTACCACGTCCTCCGCGAGGAGAGGACATTTCACATTGCTAAGAGCCTGATCGCCACCGCCGATCCGGAAGGGGTCCACAATGTGAAACCCATCGACCTCCTACGCCTGAATCCGCAACCCGGTGATCGTGCGCCTATAATTGTGGCTATTTATGAGCATCCCGGAGAGAACTACCTATTCAGGGCCCTAGATCTGGGACCCGCCTTTTATTATGCTAAAAAGATCGAAGACAGATTTGAAGCCTATCGCAAAAATGATTTCTTGCTGGAACCTCCCATTAGCCTGATGCATTTCCTCGATTTCGCTATTGGCGCTACGCAATGTCTGGAGATATTGCATCATGGCCATGGAATGGTCCATGGAGAAATTAGAGCGGATGCGTTTCATTTCAACATGGAGACGAATAAGGTAAAGCTGATATCTTTTGGCTCGGGGGTAAGGTCGTTCGAACACGGGCTCACTAGTACGGGATGGTCGACACTCTCTAAGGAACTCGGGGCGAAGAACAAATTGGTCTACATTAGCCCTGAGCAGACTGGCCGCATGCCGGCCGAGCCTGATACGAGGACTGACATTTACTCATTAGGTGTATTATTTTGGATGCTCCTAACCCAACAACCCGTTTTTACTGGAGCCACTCCGTTAGATATCGTCCAGTGTGTACTAAATCGTCGCATCCCGTTGGTGTCGAATATTCGAACGGATGTGCCCGAGGTTCTTGGCCGCATAATACAGAAGTGTACAGCCAAGAACATCTCGGACCGTTATTACTCGGCGAGTGGCCTTCGTCATGATTTGCAAATGATCCAGAAACTCCTGGGAAATGGCGACTGGAAAGCTTTGAAGGAGTGGCATATTGCTTCGAGAGATATCTCGTCATTCTTCATGTTACCTACTGCTATGATTGGACGCCGTAAAGAGCACGCCGAACTCGTGAAAATACTCGAAAGGGTAGCGAGGGGTCAAGCTATCGCTAGTCTTACAGCAACTAACCGATATTCAGACGGTTCCGGCTTATCAGCCGAGTTCATCGATACCGCCGATGTTTCAAGCGAAGGTGCGAGCTCCGCTGAGGGAGAGATTCGGCGAAGCGGCTCCTTCACGCAGACCACACTCTCAGATCCGAAACAATCGAGAAGCGCCGTTCAATCTTCAGTTAACGGAATAGACACGCAAACAGTCTCCGGGTCCAATGACACGATATCCTCATGTCACACCGCTTCAAAGCTATCCAAAACGTTAGAGAAGCATCCGTCTGTAGCCTTTGAGGCTAAGACTATTTTCGACACTATTGGTGAGCGCCAGTCTTCCTCGCGCCATAGCGGCACCGAGACGACTGGCAGTCTTTCAAGGCAGTTAGGTTCGGCAAGGTTCCGAAGGCGGGGCTATTGCGAGGTTGTTACTATTGAAGGCGCTGGTGGTCTGGGCAAGAGTTTTCTCGTTCAGCAAGTATTGGCTGATGCCAGGCGAAGAGGGTATTGTGCGACAGCAAAATTCGACACGGCTAGGAGAACCGCATTTGGACCGCTATTGAAACTAGTATCCTCTCTGTTCAAACAAGTCTGGGGTGAGAGCAACACTGACACGCCTCTCCATCGAGCTCTTAAAGACTATGTTCGTCCGATATGGCCAATGCTCCATAACTTGCTCGGGCTTCCTGAGTTTCTCCTTGGTTCTCAAGACCGAACGTATATTTCACCACTGCTGGCACAAGGTCTACCCAATGGTCGAATCAACAGAGCCCCGATGAGTAGGCGTAGCTCATCCCCCGTGAGTTCTCCGGGGAAACCACGCCCCCAGAGTCCACGCGTCACCTCACAGACCTCTCAGGACTTCCTCCGAGCTGGAGCAGCTACGAAGACGATTCGCTTAATGAATACGTTCTTGGATATACTAAGGATCTTTACAAGTCACCACTTCGTCTGTCTATGCCTGGATGATCTTCAGTTTGCGGACGATGAGTCTCTGGAGTTGATTACTCAGGTAGTCTCAGCTCGGTTGAAGATGGTACTAATAGTAACTTATCGACCCGACGAATTATCTCCGGACGACGTTCAAAAGATCATCCAGCCTGCAGACACCGAAGGTAAAGTATTTTCCTTTTCTATGTGTACCGCAGGATGCGGGCTAACTAGTTCAGAACATCCTAAATCCGGCGGTCCAAGGGTTACAAGAATTCGCTTAGCGCCTTTGACTGAATATGAGATTCTACAATACGTAGCGTCGACATTGTGCCGACCTCAGGAGGATGTTGCTAATCTAGCTCGCGTAATCCAATCGAAGACTGCTGGTAATCCCTTTTACATGAGAGAAATGCTAAGTGCCTGCTACCGCAAAAGATGCATATGGTACGACTACAAAAAGAATAGGTGGGACTTCAACTTGGATTCGCTCTTCGAACAATTCAAAGGTGAAGACGACTACGATGTTTTAAACAACGACTTCATTACTCGCCGATTGAGTGAGCTTCCAGCTGCATCGCGGTCTATATTGGCCTGGGCAGCTCTTTTGGGTACTACTTTCTCGTTCGAGCTAATCTGTCAATTATTAAATGGTTCCTTTGACCCTATCGATGACGGCGGCAACGAGCAGAGCGAACCCCTTTACTGTGCCAAGTACTCTAAACAGGACGCAGTTGCAGGGTTACAAGCAGCGATAAATGCTTGCATTATCGTACAGAGCGAAAGCGACGATAGATTCCGGTTTGCACACGACAGATACGTCCAAGCAGCAGCATCCTTGAAGGAATGCAATACCCCCCAGATGCATTTCGCCATTGCGCAGACGTTACTAAATCACTACGGAGACGAAGTTAGAGTAAGGGATAATACTGCGTCGCATATTGCGGAAGCAGTCGAGATTATCAAGGACAAGGTCCATTTTCGCCAACCGTACCGAAAGCACCTGGTGGAATGCGCTGCATTGGCGGTGGAGAATGGTGCAAGGTCGACAGCCGCAAAATATTACCACAGCGCCATAATGCTCTTACAACCGGATCCGTGGGCCGATGGCCCAGACGACGTCGATTACGAAGAAACACTTAAACTTCACTTGCGCGCTGCTGAGTGCTACATATATATGGGAAATCACGCTGCAGCTCATAACCTTGCGAATGCTATTATTACCGGTGCAAAAAATGCAGAGGATAAAGCGCCCGCCTGGCTTCTTCTAGCGCGCGTTCAAGCCCAGAATGGGAACTCGATGTCTGCGCTTGCTATCTTGAAGGAGAGTCTCCATCAACTGAAAGTCGAACTTGACACGCATCCCACCTTTGAGAAATGCGATACGCTCTTCATGGAGATAGCCGCCAAAATCAAAAGTCTGGATCGGGGAGAGATTCTGAGCCCCCTTGGCAATATGGATCCCCACGAACTAACAGTTGGGGCTATTCTCACGGAAGCTATCAGTGCTGCCTGGTGGAGTGACTCTCTGGTCTTCTATAATCTTGCCCTTGCACATATCAATCGGTACCTGAAATACGGGCGCTCTCCCCATTCTAGTGCCGCGTTTCTTTACGTCGCTATGATCGCACTATCCCGGTTTAATATGGTAGAATTCGCCGCAGAGCTCGGTAACCAGTGCTTAGAAATACTGGAGCGTACTCGGGATTCATTTTTCACCGCTCGTGGCTACATGCTATATACCTCCTTTGTCAGCCATATCCATGTTCCTATTAGTGTTTGTATAAACCATTCGGAACTGTCGGTCGAATGCTCGTCCAGCGCCGGTGATCGTATGTCTGTTATTCTGAGCTATGGGCTCTCGGCTCAGATGAGACTTTTTGCAAGCGAGAATGTTGCTCTTCTCGAATCGATTTGCCAATACTGCTGTGAGGAGGTACCTGGTTGGCACCAAGATACCAGGGGCGGGACTTACTTGATAGCGGTCCGGCAGGTTTGCCGCGCGCTTCAGGGTAAGACAGATACAACTAAAGCACATACGGTAATGACGGATGACCAGCACAATTCAAATGCTTACAAAACGTGGCTTGATATCCAAACACGAAACGGTGGCCGTTCTGTCCTGATATATGAAACAAATGAAATCATTGTCTTATACTTGTACGGCCACTATCAAGAAGCTCAGGAAATGGGCGAGAGGTGCATTGACAAGATAGACCTGCTCTGGTCGTCTCGAAATACTCGAGCCGTGTTATTCTTTCATGGGCTTGCTGTTGCAGGCCTCGTGCAGCGCAAGCTTAACGACCCACGAACCGCTGATGCCGACCTAGAAAAGGAGGTCCGAGATACGATCGTGCAACTTGAAAATCTGAATAAAAGGATCAAAGGTTGGCAAGTCGTTTTAAATGCGAATTACCTTGCTTGGTCGAAATTACTTGACGCTCAGATTGAGGAGTTGCGCGGTGATCACGGCACTGCTATACGCCATTATGAAACTGCATTAGATCATGCTTCCGAGTACAGCCTACTTTTCGAGGAGGCCCTTGGGAATTTCTTGATGGCCGGCTTTTTCGTCAGGCGGTCGGCGAGAAGGTCAGCAACGGCGGCCTTGAAGGAGTCTGTTGCGCTCTGGCGACAATTAGGAGCGATCGGAATTGCTCAACGTATCGAGGAAGACCACAGCTTCCTCCTCCATAGTCCTATCCGCTACGCAAGAACAGCCGAGGTTGCTGTACAGACGGATTTTGCTGGGGATTCTGCCTCTGTCACATATGCCACAGACGGCGATGATCCGCAGTCTGTGCAAACTGTCAACGAAGAGACGAAAGAAACCAGAATGGCCGCATGGCGCGGTTCGACGCAGCCTGAAGCTGGTGCCGGCTTGCCAGCTCTCGATATGATAGATCTTCATGCTATACTTGTTTCATCCCAAGTTATCTCCTCCGTCTTACAGGTTGACGTCTTACTTAAGACAATGTGCGATGTTATCCTCCAAACCTGCGGGGGATCCGCAACTCAAGCAGCAATTATTGTTCAAGACGAAGACGACGCGAAAGATAATTGGTGTATCGCAGCCAGTGGTGATTCGGAAAAAGGAGCCACGGCCCATCTCCCTGGACAGCCACTGATTGGCACATCGTTGGTCGCCGAGAACGTAGTTCTGTACTGCGCCCGATTTCGTGAAGTTGTCTTCATCCCTGATCTAATTGGCGATGAGAGGTTTGGGAAGGTTAGCGACTCCTGGGCGCAAGGAAATTCCCTTAGCAAAGCCATCATCGCAATACCCATCTGTCACGGGGCGAAGCCACTTCTTGGCGTTCTTTACCTGGAGGGCGAGCCAGATTCTTTTACGGATAGGAACGTCACCGTGCTACAGTTACTCGTAAATCAGATTGGGATTAGTTATTCTAACGCCCTTTCAATAAAGGCGATAGAGAAAGTATCCTCTGAGAACGAAGCGATGGTCCGAATACAAAAGCAAGCAGTTGCGAAGGCGAAACACGCAGAAGCGGAAGCCAAACGGAATGTCAAGATTGCCGAGGAAGCAGCCAAAGCCAAGAGCATTTTCCTTGCCAACGTGTCCCATGAACTACGCACCCCGTTGAACGGCGTGATTGGCAATTCCGAACTCTTAAGGGACAGCAATCTTAATAAAGAGCAGCTCGAAATGGCGGATTCTATCCGGGTATCTGCGGATCTCTTACTTACGGTCATCAATGACATTCTCGACTTCTCCAAAATGGAAGCCGACAAGATGAAGCTTTACATTACTGCGTTTAATCCAGAAGAGATGGTGCGTGAGGTTGTAAGGGCCGCCTCTTATAGCAATCGAGAGAAGACGTCCAAGAAAAACGTTAAGATTATTCAAGATATCAACCTACCACCAATGCTCATTTATGGCGATCCTATCCGCTTGCACCAAGTCCTTGGTAACCTCATTAGCAACAGTCTCAAGTTCACAGAAGATGGCTCCATCACAATCGGTGCTAAGGTTGAGTTTAATACTCTTGAGAAGGCGAAGTTGACATTTTGGGTGGAGGATACTGGTATCGGTATTCCGCAGGATCAGCTAAAGAAGCTCTTCAGGCCATTTAGCCAAGCTGATGCCAGCACTGCCCGCAAATACGGTGGTAGCGGGCTTGGACTCAGCATTTGCAAGTCGCTCATCGAGAATATGATGAAGGGCGAGATCTCACTTGAAAGCAGAGAAAATGAAGGCACAAGGGCTTCATTCACAGTAACGTTCGATAAGGCGAAGCCGCATGTGTCCGCAGGAGAAGCTCGACCAGTTCCAACACCCCCCGTTACCGATATAAAACACAATGCCCCTCAACGAGCTCCCAGTCATTCTCTAATGAGCCCAGTTGTAGATCTAGCTCGAATTCCCAAAGATCAAATACGTATCTGCATCGCAGAGGATAATCTTATCAACCAGAAGATCGCCATCAAGTTTGTGCATAAACTAGGATACACCAAGGTCGATGCTTATGAGAACGGATTCAAGGCGGTAGAAGGTTTGCGACAACAAGCCATGGCGGGTGATCCTTATCACATCGTCTTAATGGATGTTCAAATGCCCGTTCTTGACGGCTACGAAGCTACCGCGATAATTCGTAAGGATCCTATCGAGGAAGTTAGGAAAGTTTTGGTCATAGCCATGACGGCTTCCGCAATCCAAGGTGATCGAGAAAGGTGCCTGGCGTCAGGCATGAATGACTATCTTGCTAAACCAGTCAAGGCAGGCTTGCTCAAGAGGAAGCTAGATACATATACCACAGGAACCATACAACCACCAACCCCGCCTGCGAGACACCAGTCAGATCCTCTTGGGCGGTTCAAAAGTCAGGATTCCTCGGATGGCAACTCTACTCCTGTTCCCAGCTCGCCCTTGACCAATGACTTTACAATGAGCGGGTCACCACCTCTTGTCATACCGATGAGGGAGAATATTGATTACTCGTATTCTACTGATACATCGAATGGGAAAATGTCACCAGACCAATATTCTCCAATAGAGAGCGCAAACGTCTCCCCCACGCAGCAAACAGCGAAACGCCAGCCGCGGAAGTTGACGAAACCTCGGAGTCTTAGCGACGCCGAGACCACCACTGATGAGAAACCGAGGGTGGTCCTTACTAAGAAGAACCCGAGGCAAAACAATTCATCCGCGTTAGATAGCGATACGGGTCATGAGAATGGATTATCAAGCTAACGATAGGGGTTACAGTAAACCAGAGATTTGATGCTAGCAAACATACGCTTCTGGATCACTCAAAATATGGCCCAGGTGTCTGTCTATCCTAGTTTCTAGTCTTTTGTTTCTTGTTCACATGAATGGTTCCTAGGATTTCCATCTTCTATCATGTACGTTGGGTTGTCCTAATCCAAGGTAAACAAAATAATGGGCCGGGTGATTTGGCACCGGAATCTGGAGCATATAACGGATTTTCTTTTTTTTTCTTCCTTTTTTTTGCTAATTCGATTTGGATTTGTCATATGGGCATGGCGATAGCGATGGTAATGGCGATGGCAATTACCGAGCCTGTTTGCGAGAGTTGAACATTGCTGAACGAAGAAGCTAGGCTAGGCTAGGCTAGGCACGTCATTACGATCATGATAGAGAGAAAGGGGGAGAGAGAGAGAGAGATTATGGGAAATATGGCACGCGATACCACATGTGAGCTCTATATGCATTTTATCGGCAAAGCTTTAGGATGATTAAGCGTATCAGTGAGTTTGATTTAATGGGTTTTAGAGATGCTATTTAGATACGGATACATCATCATCATCATCGTCATCAGCTTCATCACTTTCATCACAGTCTGGAAAGGATTAGTCCGGGACGATGGGAAGCCTCCGTCCGGACTGGATACCCGCTTAGCTTTCTAGGAACAACACACCCTAAATACACGACGAACACACATACTACTACTAAGAATAAAAAAAGATTTTTGGGACACAATCATTCATTTATTCATTATATTATGCATTACCTTTAACGAGCGTAGGAATAATATATTGCCGTTAGAACGCGGTAACCTTCTTTAGGTAGCGGCATTTCGCTCGTTTCTCGCTAAGGACCAAAGCATTACTTGCATACATTAGGTCAGGCACAATACATATATAGTAAGTAGTAGTGGTAGTAGTAGTAGTTGCTTTTTTTATATCGCCGAACCACGTGAGAGAAAAGCTCTAGCCTCGAGGAAGCGGCTCAGAGCCGGTGTTAGGCAGTTAACACGAGCAAGATTCTACATAGTATTCCACTTACGACATTCGCGATGCAGTAGTTGAAACATGCATCAGGAGAGATGGAGATGGAGACCCCGAGGCTCCAGAGCCTAGAAAGAGCCTAGAAAGAAAGCCTGGAAGGCCGGTTTTACGTGGAGATTTGCTCAAGTCGGTCCGAGGCCCCACGGGATTAGGCAAACTTTCCTTCCTCCATCGCAGTAATAGTAATAGTAGGTTAAGGGAATTTCTAGAATTCCCATGCTTCCACTCTCATCCGTTTTTTTTTTTTTTTTTTTTTAGACCGGTGGAGTTTTTGGAGGCTCCGATAGTCTGGGACGGCTAATGAGCCGCGTTAGTACGTTTAGTTTAGTAGATCTACCTATATCGTACATTAGGTTAGGTGATGAAGAAGAAGAAGAAGGAGAAAATCGACCGGCGGCTGCGACGGGTTTGATAGGTTCTTTCTGGTTCTGGCTAGGTACCTCTCACATCGCCGTTATTGGCATTGTCGAGTCATGCGAAGCCGAACGAGTTGCCGCCAAATGATATAACATGCGACATGATGCGCGCCGGTTAGGCCCATTACGTGGCAGCCTTATCCTAATTTGCTAATTTGCCCTCCTTTTGATTAAACTATGGACTCCCGGTGGCTTGGGCTGCGGATACCGGTGAAGGTAAAGAGCACATCGAGAACTGAAGGAGTAGGTCACACAAGCGCTTGGTTGGTGCTGGTATGGTAATCAATCGCCTTGTTCTCGCCTGTTTTGTTTTTCTGTCTGTCTCTCTCTCCCCCTCTCCCTCCTGGCTGCTAGTTCAAGCAAAACTGTCTGCCTGGTGTGCTCGACATGTGGGACCGACGTACATACAGTGGCTTAAGCCCCCCCGCCGTAAGCTAAGAAGTCTTGGTAGAGAAATTTTGTAGCTGCGTAGATCGTATACTATGTTAGGTACCTACTTACTTACCTCTTACATGCTTGCCTTAGAGCCCAGACAGGCATAGGAAACGGTTCGTTTGTTATTGCCTTTATCGATTGGTAGACAAGGACAAGGGAGAGATGGCTATAGTCGGCTATTGAGGAGAAAGCGAAGTTATCGTATGTCAGTACTTCTCGTTCCTGCTTACAACGATAAGTATCAACATACTACATACATACCTCTGAGTGCTAGTGTAGACTGTAGAGTTAGTCTGCCGAGTCCCATCTCGGCACGGCTATGTATATCTTGGCTCCATCGACGCCACGGCTCTACTACGTAGATGACGCTTAGGAAAATATGACAGAGATTGCGGCTCGCGAAGAAGCCGTCCCACGTGTCCCTCTAACCCGGTTTTCTTCTTTCTGCTTTGCTTTTTTCTTTTTCTTCTTCTTTCGTCTCGTCCCGTGTGGGAATTGTTGAGGATAGATATCTGGGGTGCGAAGAAGCGGGAGGCGCTGCGTTCGTGCGTTTCAGCCGGGGTCCGTATAATGACGAAGGGGAGATTGCAAGAAGCAAAGGCTTTGTATGTATGTATGTAACCAGGCAGTTGGGCAGCAGGTAGGAATTTTGCTTTTTTCTCTCTCTTTTCGCAGGGCTGGGTTGGTAACCGCGGGCAGCATGTGGTGGCTTACGCCGCATGTTACGGCCGGCCGCCTTTGGACTTGTCTAGGCGAATAGAGAGGGCGTAAGGGGAGATTAAGGCGAAAGGCTTGCGCTCACCTACATCCGTAACGGGGAGAGGGCGTAAGTTACGTGTTCTAGATGAGTTAATGTCCAAGTTCGACCGTTGCGGTAGAAGAGGGATGATCGTGGTTCGACGTACATGGATACATAGTACTAGATCCCCGCTAGATCGGTGACGTTTTGTTGTTTTTTTGGTCCCTCTGCTGCATTAACCGATTGGGTGGCTGGCTAGCGCGATGTACGAATGACAGAGCTGTCATGTCATGTCATGGTCTAGGTTTGCACAGTAGCTAGGGGATCGGCAAAGAAAGCTGGCAGGGAAGACAGGATGTTGCCTGTATTATGTGTATTCGCATCTTGCTGCCATCCCAACTAGGAACACCTCCGTGGCCCTCGGTCACGGCGGCAGCTAGCCTGCTTCATTGACATAGTCCTATGGAACCGGAAAGAATCGCTGCTAAAAATTCTTTTGCTAGGAATTGTTGACAACGGTTCTGTGACGGGAAACAGTTTGGTAGTTTGGCTAGGTCGAAATAGTGTGATACTAGTAGTTGTCTTGGCTAAACAAAGTTTTGATACTAAAGATAGTGCTCTGCGACTGTAGGAACGATACTGAAGGTTATCCTGTTTTAGGAAATTCACGACATGTTCGGTGCTATCTGTCACAACAGCAAGATAGGATTAAGATAGGATTTGTGGAATCCCATGTACGGTACTCGCTCTATAGGGCGCGTCTGACTGAGATACCTACCAGTTTGCTAGGGGGATGGATATTGGAAAGCCCGGCAGCCTCTTAATCCCTTATTCCGATCCTTGCCATGTCGTATACCGTCTTGACTCGTGATGTGTGATGCATCACCAAACGCAATATGCGCTTTTCGGCGGCCAGCCTACTTTGTATCTTAGGTGGCTCCTCCGGAAGTCCGATCAAATTTCCACAGACCACCTAGCGGCTCAGTATATTGCGAGGTTCCTCGATCCCGCTTGTGGACCCTAGCCAAGATTCCGGATCCGAAGACGTTGTCGAGTTACTGTGCGGAGTGTACATTACATGCCTCTTGCCTGTATACACCAGGCACGGCAGGCAGCGAGATCCATAGGTGCGTGTTCCTCGTAATGGGGTCGACCTACACAACTAAGAAAAGGGGCCACAGTAAACCCGAATACATACCTTGTGACTACCTGTGTGTTTACATGTATGTCTACATGATATTTTAGTTATTTTAGAGTTAGTTCGTCCGACAACCTTTAGGGTATCGGCGGCTACGAGAAAACTAGCATTGGTCTACCCGCTGCTGTGCGTTTTTTTTTCCTCTCGCGTTTTCGACCGGTCCCAGTGTCATGTCCATTGGCTCGTAATGACAAGTCGAAGAATCTCGAATGTTATTCGTAGGGAAATAATTGGCGACTGGAGAGTATGACCCATAAGCTTATTAGCCCCTGCTGTACGAGTTGCCGGTCAAGCTCTGTTTTGATCCTTTAACTGCACCAATGTTATTCGACCGCTGACTGGACCGCTGACTGGCCATATCAAACTGTTCAAGTAACAGGAGTAGCCATTGATCGGGTAATGAGAGGAGGATACAAACATGTCATGTAAACAGTAGGAATGTGTTGTCAAGCCGTTCTTGGGTGCATATCGCGTGGAAACCTGACTACTCGAATCTGAATGGGTGTTCCCGTATTAGACTTGTGCTTGAGAACAGTCAACAGATATCTCTGTATACTTTCTGTAGTCCCTTGCCTTGACACATCGGAACTAGTATGTAAATAATGGTGAAACTTACTAGTTTAAGGTGACTGCAATGAGTTGTAGCATATGCTTGAAGTATTACCTAGACCAAATATTTCACCCAGAGATAGATATGTACATTGCTTGTAAGACTATATCGTGTATTTCAATGCATATCAGCAATGTAAATAAATGATCAGAGTAAGCATGCTGCCACGTTAGGAAATGATTGGGGCTTGTAACTAAAAAGAAACGAAGCTTTTTTATAAAAAATAATAATAATAAATTTAGGAGAGTCTAAAATTGAAGGTGTAAAGTTGAAAGAGTGCGGTTTGAGATGTTGGTTATCACGATCGGATATGGCAGGATTCAAGCTTTTCTAAGTGGCGTGGGCATGTTCGAAACGGAGAAAACAAAAACCATTCTCGTTCCTCTCGCATTGTTGAAGAAGAAGAGTTGATGGAGTTGTTTCAAGCGTCGTCTCCTCCTGCCCCAACTCTAATAAAGTTAATTGGTCGTGTGAGCACAGTATGAAATATATTGTACTTACCTGGTACTTTAAATAAAAGTTAAGGGTTCGTAAAACGGTACAATTGTACGACATTTAGCAAATGTTAATGTTAAACTCTATCCAAGTCGGGGTGTAAGTCTATGTAAGTATATGCAAAATTCGCACTTGGTACGCATCATGACTTTTTTTTTTCTTTGCGCGGCGCTACACTAGGAACATCCGCCATTAGGCTACCGCATAAACAGTACCGTGGAAGAAAACATGGAGTTTTGACCTTCTTTTGGAACAGGAATGTCCCAGTCTGGAGTCTAGACTTATACCTAAGCGCTGATTGGTTAACCGCTATTTCTTCCTCCCTTTTTAGGAATTATGAGGCTTAGGTACCCCCCTTCCCCCCATTGGTACCTCACATAGGTACCTCACATACACATCAGTGTAGGTATTAATAA